AATCTGAAATGCATTACCCAAGATCTGTATGGAGTTGGAATATATTGAATAGGGAAAAACAAAAATTGATAATGGACTCCCAAACCCCTTTATCATCATCAGATAAAATTCATATTTCACTGCACTATTTCACTTTCTACTCTGGAAAATATATATTGATTAAATAAGCAGGACTCCGGATGCTTTTTGAGGGAGATTTCTGGGCTAAAACTGGTGAGCCGGTGGGAAGTGAACCTGCGTGAAACAGATGCTATTGATGAAAAGAAGGCTGTGGAATTGGCCAATCACTTTCTTCACTGCAGTGAAAATGAGATAGTGAAAGAGAGAGAGAGAGAGAGAGAGAGAGAGAGAGAGAGAGAGAGAGAGAGAGAGAGAGAGAGAGAGAGAGAGAGAGAGAGAGAGAGAGAGAGAGAGAGAGAGAGAGAGAGAGAGAGAGAGAGAGAGAGAGAGAATCTCATGTGTCCCTAGAGAACTGAAGAGACAGTCAGTCTGAAAGAGTGAGACACTCCAGTACCGACAGCCTGTCAGAGTGAGAGAGGCATCTGCCAGACCTCACACATTCACAGACACACACACACACACACACACACACACACACACATTCTTGGTCACTCGCTTTCTACCTCTCTCTGTCTGCCTCATGCATTCCCTATTTAAAGAACAGAATTTATGTAGACCTGCACACTGCAGCAGTTTAAAAAAATGCAGCTTTTTGCACTTTTTTTGCCTGAATTTTGGTCCCTGCTACACTGGAATATGAAATAAAATATAAGAATAAAATAAAAATAATTTTAAGGACCAATTCTAATGTACATACAGTAGCTGTGTAAAATATACACTTTTATATGCATATTTTATTGTATGTTTCTGTTCTGATGAAGCCTAAATTCTGTAGTCATTTATTTATTGTGCTTTGTTAAGGGTCAGTTTTAGTTCAACATTCTGGTTTTTCATTGTAATGGAAAAACCCAAATAAATGCAATGCTTTAAAAAAAGCTCTCTCAATTTCTTGCTCATTGTACCCTTTTCTTTATCTTTCACCACAAACACACAAACAAATATACACAAGCCAACACTCAGAGTGACCAACAGTGCATCTTTGGCCTTCATAGTCTGCTGTGTGTATGGTTGTGAGCAGTGATTCCCCATAAAGCCGTCTTTATAAGCGACTCTAAGAGGCTTTCACTCTTGCAGCATCATCACCTTCTCCTGCAAAAGGACAATGATGACGAGGGAAATGTATCAGCAAGCGGCCATAGCAGAAATAGTCCACGGAAAGCTGCCCAGACAGCAGATCACAGTCTGGACTGCTTTAAAATAAAGCGACTCTGCTCCGATCTCCAACACTGGCCTGAGGAGACATATGCTGTGTTCAGATAAACCACTGCTGCTAGTCACTTAGACAGGCTACAGGGAACACCTAGGTCGAGGAGTCGGCAGGGGTCAGGGTCAAAGGTTAAAAGGGAATGGCCCGAGTTCAGCAAGCGAGCAGGTGCTGAGGTCAGAGATGTGTTGCTGGGACAGACTTGTGATATTCTGTTGAATCCTGTGACACTTTATTTTCAGTTCGCCTTTCAGTAATCTAAAGCTCTTGGTACATAATCTGTTGCAGACATACACATCAATCAATGAGTCCTGACTGACCAGATGATTTCACAATGGGTCTAACTCAATGTTATCAAATGGATCAATACTGCTTAACCGCATATGTGCTGGTTATTAGTAATATGATAATTATAACTACAAAGTTAAAGGGTTAGTTCACCCAAAAATGAAAATTCTGTCGGTAATGACTCACCCTCATGTTGTTCCAACCCCGTAAGACTTTCGTTCATCTTCGGAACACAAATTAAGATATTTTTTAATAAAATCTGAGAGCTGGATCTCTCCTCCATCTTAAGGGATCTAAACTGGCCGGCCCAAAAGTTATAAAAGACATCGTTAAAATAGTAATAATAGAGTGACTACAGTGGCTCAACCTTAAGTTTATCAAGCGACGAGAATACTTTTTGTGCGCAAAAAAACAAACAAAAATAACGACTTTATTCAACTAATCATTTCCTTCTCTGTACGGCCGTGATATTTCACGTAGTGATATTGCGCAAAGCTTCTAGGTTGCACGTCACACGTAGGCTCACTATTGGCCGACGCTGGTCATGTGTGTGATGCGTGACGTACAACCTAGAAGTTTTGCGTAGTTTCACTACGTGACATATCACGGCCCACAGAGAAGGAAATGATTAGTTGAATAAAGTCGTTATTTTTGTTTGTTTTTTGTGCACAATAAGTATTCTCGTCACTTGATAAACTTAAGATTGAGCCACTGTAGTCACTCGGACTATTTCAACGATGTCTTTCATAACGTTTGGGCTGGCCAGTTTCGATCCCTTAAGAAGCCTATGGAGATAGCTCTCAGATTTAATCAAAAATATCTTAATTTGTGTTCCGAAGATGAACGAAAGTCTTACGGGGTTGGAACAACATGAGGGTGAGTAATTACTGACAGAATTTTCATTTTTGGGTGAACTATCCCTTTAAGCATGAATACTTTTATTCAGCAAGGACACATTAAACTGAAGTGACAGTAAAGACTTTTAAAATGTTACAAAGATTTCTAGTTCAAATAAATGCTGTTCTTTTCTACTCATCAAAGAATCCTGAAAAAATGTATCAGGGTTTCAAAAATATTAAGCAGCAAAACTGTTTTAAGATTAATAATAAGAAATGTTTCTTGAGCACCAAATCAGCATATTAAAATGATCTCTGAAGGATCGAAGTGACACTGAAGACTGGAGTAATGACTGCTGAATATTTGCCAGCACAGGAATACATTTAATTAAAAAAAGTATTAAAATAGAAAACTATATATAATAATAATAATATTTCACAAAATTATGCCTTGATGAGCATGAGAGACTTACCGACCCCAAACTTTTAAACAGTAGTGTTTGTATAGTTTATGTTTAACTGTATCCACTCATTTTTATACTGCTGATCGACATTCGAACAACAAATACAGTTATCTGTGTAAACAAAACAAGACAGCATCTAATAACCTCGGAGTAAAGCCCCATACGTTTCCCATCTCTGAAATCATATGCTTTCAATAAACTGAAATAAGATCAGCATAAAAACACTATAATGAGAAAGTACATCTGTGGCTTTTCCTCTGCTGTACAGCATGACGCAGACAGATTGGAGCAGCTCTTATTAAATGTCTTAAAAGGATTTCAAAAAGCTCAAAGTGATTATGTCTGGCAGACCCTCCATCGGAGAGCTGACTTTCACAATAGCAAAGGGTTAAAGCTTTCCTAAAGATTAAACATTCACCACACTTCCTACGGGCATCCATCATTTAACAAAGAAAACCAGTGGCTTTGAAGAACAAAATTCTGCTTGATATACTCAGAAAAATATTTAGTTTTAATAAATAAATAAATGGACCATGAGAGTTTGGGCCCATATAAAAATGCGACAAAATATTGTTAATAATATAATATAATATTACTATATAATTGTATCTCAAACAATTCAATTCTTGCTTTTTTGTGACAATTTTTCTTCTTCCCTTTTGTGACATATACACTGTAAAAAATTGCATTTTTGCATTTTTCCATCTTAAAAATATATCTAAATTACGTCATATGCTCTCAATGACAAATGCGGAACAGTTAGTTCATGCGTTCATGACATCAAGGCTAGATTTATGTAATGCTCTACTGGGTGGTTGCCCTGCATGCTTAATAAACAAACTACAGCTGGTCTAAAACGCAGCAGCTCGAGTTCTTACTACAACCAGAAAGAATGACCATATTAGCTTGGTTCAATTTCAACAATTTCTGTTACTTTAATTTCCTATTATCACTGTAAAGCCGCTTTGAACAATCTACATTGTTAAAAGCGCTATATAAATGAAGATGACTTGACTTGACTATTATTAGCATTATTTCAGCATAAAGATTTACCAATATCTTATTTCTAACTAATAATTGTTTGTAGATGGATATCAGCAGCTGCTGAAATTTAACTTTAAAAGATGTGACATCATCTTGCAACACTATATTTTTTTCTTCCATCACCAAATGATGCACAGACATCAATACTCGACATACAAAACACAACAATGGTGACACTCAACAAATAATATTAATAAAAAAGATACAGAACATTACAAAATAAACAAAAAAACACAAACCGCTAAAAGTGAACCAAAAATAAGTTCAGCAGCACAGATAAAACCAACAAGAATCAAGAAACTCCACAGCATAATCTACAGTATTCATGCCACACTGCATGTTGGGTAGCTTCATAGTACATATGCACTGTAGAAATACAGTATGATATTGTATATTTCACAAGAAATTTCCAAGAGTGCAGTTAGACACAAGAGAAGTCCTACTGTGGAATTACTGTGAAAGAAATGCAATTATTAACCTAAAAGTTTTAACAGTGTACGAGTGATACAGCTTCTCAAATGAGACAAAAAAAAGTAACAAAAAACTAAATAAAATTCCATTGGGTATTAACTGGATCATAGATGGAATCTATGCAATCGTTTCATGTGAGTGATAGGTTGCTGGAAGGGAGCGACTGAATCTTGTCTGGCTATTGGACTACCTTATTGCCCAGTTTAATTTTCCAGTTGTTTGTGACAGGTATTCATTTGGACTATTTCCCAGATTTTTTCATTACCTTTTAAGATTTTAATAATTTCATAATTTTAAAAACTTTTCCAGGGCCTAGACATAAGTTTTATAGTACCTTAGGATTCCTTGTAGTACTTATACTGTATAAAAAGTACTACAAGGCTTCAACTGTTACTTTTATCTGCACATTGAACACACTCTATCACAAATAAAGGCAATATCTCCAGAAAAGCAGGAACTTTCTGCAGTACAAGGCCACATTTTATCATATAAAACACCAAGGACAAACACAGTATGCTGCAATGAGCACCCTGTTTGGCCAAATAACTTGTGCTGAGAAAGTGGGACACTCACTGTTTCTAGTCTCCTCTGCGATGCATTCCCGAATGGAGTCTGTTAGACCAAGGCTGGCTGCACTGGGCAAAGGGCCGAAGAGGGCTGTCAGGGGCATACGTGTGGACTGACTAGAGATCGGTACCGTATCCTTACTCGCCTCCTGATCCTCCATCCCTTCCTGGTCCCCCCGCTCTAGCACCTGACTGATGAAATCCTGGTTGAGATGTTGGGCTGCTGCCTCCATTTCCTCATCCTCTGGATCTTCGTCCCCAGTCACCCCAGAGGCCAAAGACACACAGTCATCATCTGAAAGGGTGTTAGAGAATAATATAAAATGAAAACTGGTGTATCTGCACGTGCATCAGCATAACACCACACAATAATCTCTATTAAGAACAAATCATCAGCAAATTGTACTCAGATGAGCCTAGGTGTACTAAATAAACATGCACAGCAGTTGATTTCATCTACCTTCTCTTGAGTAGGAGGCATAAATCCCTCTCAATTTGGTTCTGCTGCTCCCTGCCAGCTGTGTCTCAATCTCATCGCGGTATGAGTTGATCTCACCTGCAGACAACGTACACACATGTACACATGAGCCTGACGTCTCTGATTGACAGTTACATTTTTCTGTCTCACAGATATTAAGTATGCAACATAGATTCCTTGGTAGAGTGTATTCAATGTTCAGAATACATATGCTAATGCCACGTATTACACATAGTCCAAACATATTTAGACAGTTCATTAAAACAGCTGCTGTCGGTAAGGTGGGCGCTCCAAACCACAGGGGCATTTTCTATTCATAATCATAGAAAAAATCTTGAAATGCTTAGTGTAGCCGAGATAACCCACCACAGATAGCATTCAGATGCCTTGCTGAGTCAATAGAGAGAATCAATATCTTATTTCAGGAGGACAGACTAACCTTGATATTCCTCAAGTTTCTTGGACAACTCGTGCTCCAGCTGAAACAATGAGATTTCAATTAAGAGAACCATTTATCCAGAGTCTCATGGCTGAATATTATATTCATAGCTTCATATCAGGTCACAAACACACACACACACACATACATAGACTATTATTTAAAAGTTTGAGGTCAGTAAGATTTTTGTTTATATATATTTTTTAAAGATTTATAAAAGTTCTTTAAATTATGCTCACCAAGGCTGCATTTACTTTGTCAAAAATACAGTAAAATAGTAATATTATTAAACATTATTATGAATTAAAATAGCTGTTTTCGATTTAAATAAATGTAATTTATTTTTGTGATGGCAAAGTCAAATTTTCAGCACCATTGCTCCAGTCCCATGGTCACATGATCCTTTGGAATCATTCTAATAGGCTGATTTGGTGCTCAAGAAACATTTCTTCTTATTATCAATGTTGAAAACAGTTGTGCTGATTAATATTTGTAAGGAATTTTGTTTTTCTTTTAGGATTATATTAGAAAGTGCAAAAGAAGAGCATTTATTTGAAATAGAAATCTTTGTAACATTATAAAAGTCTTTACTGTCATTTCAATTTAACGTGTCTTTGATGAATAAAACTATACGTTTTTATAAAAATTCTAACTTAACCCAAACTTTTGAATGTTAGTGCAACTTTGTAGTTATCATATTATTGATCATTGATCAACTTAATGCATTTTTTTTCTAAATAAAAGTATTCATTTACTTTTCAACCTTTCAACAGTAGTGTATGTCCCATATGAGTACCTGCTGCATCTTGAGTTTTTTCTTTCCAGCAACAAAAGATGGAGGATCACATTCTTGTTCAAGGTCCACTCGCATGAACTCATCAATGGTCAGGGCACTGGTGGGGGTCTCCTCAAACTCTGTAAGCCTGGGCATCAGTGCAGAAGAAACGTTTGTGGAAATGTTACAGTACAGGCATCAGGGGTACACAACCTATCAAATGAGTTTTAACTTGGGATGCACCGGTATTAAAATTCTAGGCGATACCAATAAGTCGTTAACTACTGTATATTATATTATACCACAGGGCTGCTATCTGCTTGTGTTCTGATTGATTTTTCTGATTACTTTTCTTGTGACAAAGAATATGTGGGGTATTAAAATTAGATTATGTATCGAACAGTCGGGTTACTACTAGTTTTGTGTGACAACAACATACCATTTCCCTAAGAATCTGCTCAGATCAGCCATGACATTCACCTTTTTCTCAGCGTGGCCTCGCACACCTTGACGACAGATATCACCTCCTTCACTGTCCGACGGAATTCATGCATACGAGCTGCCACGAGCAGAGCTGGGGGAACAAGGGAGAGAAAATGAGAATAAATGTTTTGTCCCCCAAACAGTATTGTTCCCAATTTGTATGTCATTTCACCACCATGCAAATATACAATGTATGTGCCATACAAAAGTGTTGAGAGTGCATTTTCTCTAGTAATGGAGCATATGTAAAAAGAATCTCTGCAGATGCTGAGGTGTGCTGTGCGATACAGTGACCCGTTTAGTAGACATTATGTAAATAGAGCTGGGGAGAAGTGTTTAAGAGAACAACAATAAAACAAGCCTCTTCAATCCCTCTTCCATCCACTGTCAACATAAAAGCTTACTTCTCAAAGATGCATGCAATTTATAGAGACAATATTTCTATGATTGTACAATATGTTTATTTACTAACACTTGTGTATGAATTTATGTTGTTCTAAAAAGCACAAAAAAGTATTAATATTAAATTAAATATTACTAAAATATTATAATTATTTTTTAATACAATATTATATTCTATATATTTATATGTAATATTTTTCTTTATTGTTCTGGCATACCTTTATTGTAGAATCAGTTATTCAGTTTGTAATATTGTGAAATAGTATAACAATTTAAAATATTATTAAAATGTAATTTATTCCTGTGATGGCAAAGCTGAATTTTCAGCATCATTTCTCCAGTCGTCAGTGTCACATGATCCTTCAGAAATCATTCTAATATGCTGATTTAGTGCTCAAGAAACATTTCTTATTACTATCAGTGTTGAAAAAATGTGTAGTTTTGTGGAAACCACGATACTTTTTTTCATAGATGGATAGAAAGTTCAAAATAACAGCATTTTTTTTATTTTAAATAGATTTTTTTGTTGAAAGGAAAATTTATTTACTGTCAATTTATCAATGAACTGCATTGTTAAACTTTTTTAACGTGTCTTTGATGAATAAAACTATACATTTTAATAAAAATTCTAACTTAACCCAAACTTTTGAATGTTAGTGCAACTTTGTAGTTATCATATTATTGATCATTAATCAACTTAATGCATTTTCTAAATAAAAGTATAATTAAAAAAAATTAAATATGTCAACTCTAAATATATCCTAAATACTGCAAACTTATTGATGAATTATTATTTCTGTGTGAAAACGTTCACACAAACACACGCACATGCATAGTAGGTGACACCCATTATTTATCTTTTTTGATTTTCTCTTGATCCTTTTTTTTGCAGTGTTCACACTCTGAGCCAGAAGGTGAAGTGTAGTTGTGTGTTTACTCCCCTCGCTCTAAAACAATCAACCTCAATACAGAAAACTGACATTTACACTTACCATATTCCCCTGAACACTGTGAATGATTAATGATGAATTATTAATTATTCAGATATTGCAGCAGCGGATGTTAGATGGGTAAAGTGAGACAGTGAGAGAGGGCTAAACTAGAGATACAGGCAGGAAGTCTGCCTTCTATTCCTGTGCAGTCAGGGCAACTAGCTGACGATAAGGTACAGGGACCAACAGTTCTGCTTCAGATCGAGGGCACCAAGATCTGTGCGGTGGTAAAGCACTTGCTGATCTTGTTTTTATCCTTGTTATGAAACTCGCTGCTCCAGTTCCCATATCAAACTTTTAGCACATTAAGGGATTTGCTTTATGATCTGACAAATGAGCAGAAATGAAGATGGAAAAAACAAGTTTTAAGCTGACAAAGGAGGCATCTAGTGAATCTTTCAACAACTCGGAAGTTAATCCAAAACAAACAAAGGACTGAGGTTTAAAGGGATAGTTTGTAGATAAAAAAATTTTTTTTTTAATTCTGTCATCATTTACTCACTCATATTGTTCAAAACTTATACGATTTAGAAGAAAGAAGATATTTTGAAGAATGCTTCAGCTTTTTTGTCTATTCAATAATAACCAAAGGGATTCAAAGGTTTCACACTCCAAAATAGACATAAAGGAAGCATAAAAGTAATTCACTTAATAACTTTAAACTTGGTTTAAAGGGCCTTTCACACTGCACTTAACCCCGGGTTATCGTCGTTCTAAACACTGCTTTTAACCCCGGGTAACGGAGCGTTTCACACTTATAATTTAGATGCGGGATTAGCACCGGGGTCCACCAGTTATTACCCGGGGACGGGGTTATTAAACCCTGCTTTGGAGCAGGTTAGCAACGCTTTTGCCAAACTTGTACAGTGTGAAACGATGCGTTATTAGAATGTTGCAACTAGATGCTTAGCAACTGACAACCAATCGCGTGCCTTATATTCACACGCTATTGGAGCAAAGAAGAGACAGTCTCATTCTTACCTTTATAGTTCGAAAAGAAAAATATTACAATGATATTATAGTCTGCAGTGTGAAACATGAATGAAGATAACCCAGAATTCCGTTTACCCGGGAATTATAATGACCCAGGGTTAACTATCTCAAGTGTGAAAAGCCTGTTTAAGTGTTCTCAATTTGATTTGGACTACCGTAGTTTGAATACATGAGTTGAACAATGATTTTATTTGGACCTTATTGACTTTTATTCTATGGACAAAAACAGTTCATTAAATATCTTCTTTTGAGTTCCACAGACAAAAAAGAAAATCATACAGGTTTGCAACACGAGTGAGTAAATGATGACAGATTTCTCATTTTTGGGTTGACTATCCCTTTAAGAGACCTCCAAATACAACAAAGGATTTATCATTTGGACATTAGACAATCTACCTGCGCCACACAAGCCTGATGGTCGCCGCCCAGTGTGCATCCAGTCTCTTTTCATCCTCTGCAACAGTCTCAGAGCAGTCATCGAAACCTCATGAGTCTTTTCACCGAACTCCAACATGTGGGCGAATCGTGGAATGTACAGACACGGATCTATAGATAGAAATCAACAGATCTGTAATCAGCGTCTGCTGGACACAAACCTGAGAATATAACCTACATTTACGTTTATTGCAAATCAAGGCTCCACATCTCTGTGAACCTCATTTAGCTGATGCCTTTTCAAAGGATAAAAAAAAATCATAATTTTTGGTGGTGGTTCTCCTTGTTGAATCTAGAACACAGTCCCCCTATGGGAACCTTTAAAAGTGGTTTGGCTAAGAGTCACTCTGTTGGAGCAAATATCCCTCACTTCCACCTACTTCTAAGTCCTTGGGTAAACTCATTTTGCTGGCCCAATAAAGCCCAAACATCACTGCTGCTGTCCTATTAAGAAGGAAATGAGCTCAGCTAAGAAAGGCGGCCATCTACAATCCTATCTAAGGCTACACTATAGGGACTGCACCTGCACTTACGAAACATAGTATGTTCATTGAAATCTCCCTAGACTATGTCTGTCACTGGCCTTTTTATACATCTAGGTAATTTTATATTAAATTATCATATTAATGCAGTAGAGCAGAGCAGTTGACATAGCAAATATTCAGTGCCATTTGTGAAACAGGAAATAGTATAAGTCATTTAAGAAAAATGTTATTTTCTCATGTAACATTCTTTGGAATGATCCATACCGCACTGAAAATAAATTGATTTTCAGACTTCTATTTCAGTCATGGCTGTAAAATTATCTGATTTGTGAGACTGTGGCTGTCAGAGTTTGATTAAGGGAAAAATGATAAATGAAAAGAGAGAAATAATCAAATAGATCTGTAAGAATTGTTGGAGGGGATGTGAAACTTGGCATTGCCTTTGAAATAATTATTGGTGAGGGTTGTGGACAGCAGTACAGGATAGGATTTGAAACGTCCTTTATAATAAAATCAGATGCTGCATTTCCTATAAGACCCCCCTGGCCCTATAGAAGCAAAATTATGGATGATGCTCTTCATTTTGGTGCTAAAATGTATTCTTATCTTGGCTGAATAAAGACATCCCATAGAAGATGCACCCAGGGACCATCAGACATCTCAAAGTCAGTGTCTGGCCTTGTCTGATGTGTCTGTAATTGTTAAAATCATCATTTGCTTAGGGGAAAGCTTGATTTTGATGCAGTGAGAGCGCTAAATTAAAAAGTGCTAATCAAGGCCTTTGGCAATTACAGTAGTACATGGCAAAACTGTATTTTCAATATACAGTTCATTCTGCAACCTGACAAAGTGGCAATGTGGACTATGCATCCTGATAAAGTTCCCTTGGCCTTTGGAATTAAAATAGCCCCACATCATCACATACCCTTCACCATACCTAGAGATTGGCATGGTTTTATTTCAGTTAGCCTAATAGCTGGTTTGATTTGCATTGAGAGATGATCTTATGGAAAGTACCCCATGCCAATCTCTAGGTATGGTGAAGGGTATGTGATGATGTGGGGCTATTTTAATTCCAAAGGCCAAGGGAACTTTATCAGGATGCATAGTATCCTGGATCCATGAAATAACTGGCCTTTAAAAATAAAAATCTGCCTGCCTCTATGGGAATTTAACATGGGGGTGTCCTGACTTATGCCCCCTGTATTTTAAGGAAGAACATTTATTTATTTATGAAACATTATTCATTCACAAAGAAAATTGGTGTCCTTAAAGGTTGGATTTTTCCTTAATTTTTTAATTAAGGCATTAAGATCAATTTCCAAAAGATGATTTTTTATTCCTTTTTTTAGTCAACTTTAGCATGGGTGTGTTCACTCATGCTAAGCACTGTATGTCATTGCTAACATTGCATGAGTTCCCACAACTAGTTGAAGTAATGAGTTTAAATGGAACTGTGTTGCATTGTGGTATACGAAGCTGCCTGACGTGTACATACTGTATGAGTAGAGTCACTCCCTCAGTCAAATTGAGGGGTCAAGGGTCTGTTTATATAAACTTCCCTCGTCCACTTGACGAAGTGGAACGTACTTCAAAATGGCGGTAAAGATAGCCTGAAGAGAAGTTGTAAGGAAAGTTGGCAAGTGTTGGTCTGAAAGCAAAGTAGAATTGTATGTTTTTGTGTTAGCATTTAGTTGTTTTTATTCATTCCAATATTAGCAGTGCTTTTGAACTTCATACTGACCCCTATTGGTCGGGATGCACGGATTTTGTTTACTAACTGCTGCCATATCACACCAAAGCTGTTTGTTTGCATTGTGATGTAAGGAAACAGTTTCCGGGTTCAAACCTCTAATGTTTCAATCAACAGTATGCTTTTGGCATTGGAAAGAGCGTTTGGACCCGGAAATAGTGACGCGTTATATTGTGAAAGCACCTTGAACACTTAAAAGCACTATATAAAGTATTAGTAGTAGCAGTTGTCAGAACTGAACTGCATTATTGGCTGGTCATAAAATACCAGCATGGCACCATCTATGAGTGGGCGACTGCTTCATGTAAAATAAACAGCTTTGTCTAAAAGCCTGATGTGACTGGAGTCTGCATCTCATGCGTTTACATCATTTGAATTTCTCAAAAGGTGTTACTAAATTCATGTAGCTATAAAACTTTTTAATTAACAAAACACCAGTGCACCTTTAAGAAGTTAACCAGATTCTCTCACCCAAAGTGACTCACTATAAGTGCTTTACATTCAGAACATTTCACTCACTGTGTGCATGTTTCACAGACTCTGACTGGCAAAAAAACATCATTGTCTAAATTGTGTGAGATAGATAAGCCGCTTATCGTAGGCGAAGGATCCAGTTTCCAGCGCCGGAGCCCTCTGTTGGAGATCCGGGAAAGCTGTGCAAGCCCAACCCCCTCTCTCTCATTGCACACTGTAGATTTAACATGGCTCCTGTCTGCCAGCGAGCCTTCAAACATCAAACCTGAATGTATTTTCCTGGCAGCTATGCTTCGGTCGGAACAATAAGGTAAATAAAGACTAATGATCTACTGTTTTTAAGTTCCTCTGCGGTTATTGCTTTATTGAATCGCGAATACTGATTCATATTACTTCGACTACAGAGTCCGTTTTGGTGGACAAGTCTATGCGGACGGCTCTGTTCTCCTGCTACTTGATCTCTTTAAACCCGGTTCGTAAAGAACGCTCGCATCATTGATCGTGCATGTTAATGGTGAGCACGAGCGATATTTCTACCGAAGACATCAAAGATTTTCTTAGTAGGTTGAGCGCTTCGTTGCAGATGTGTATCCCCTTATGAGACATTTACGGCTGCATCAGCAAATTGTACGGATCCTATGAAGTTGAAACACCGCAACTGAAGCTCGGTGATGATTGTGGGAAAGCGTTGCAATGTCGAGTTCTGTTTTGCGTGTGGAAAAAGTTACTTGATGAAATAAAAAATGCCTTCAAAGATTTCATATATCGCAGATTAAATCTGTTTGGCCCCTGGTAATGATGACATGGATCAAACTAGTGTAAGATATGATACATCTTGAATTTGGTATGCCTGTGTTGGTGGAAGTGGTGACGTGAACATATTGTCAACAGTAGAGATGGGAACCGCGAATTAAACGATTCCCGTTAACGATTCGGGTTGAGGCCCGTATTCAGCATCCTACTTTTAATGAATCAATTGCATTTATTGTTATATGACATTATCCGTCAGATTCAACAGAACATATATAAATGCAATGCATTTATTCCAAAAGGTGTGCATGCACAGACATTTTAGTGATTTTTCAAAGGCTTTTTAGATGCAGCACAAATTAAATCCGACATAAATGCATTTCGAATAATAAAATAAAATGTTGTCACATATTTAGTTCAGAATGTGTCCAGCGTATTTTGTCCCAACTACAAGTTGTCATGCAACTAGTCAGTGCATACAAGTCTCACATGCACATTATCAGTTCGTGCTCATTACATGAAAGTAACTTAATAACTTGCGAGTCAAGCTAATTCAGCAATTCTACGACTGATTCATAAATGTTTTTGATGCACTAGAGGCTAGAGCCGACTCACAAGAATCATTCTTTGGTCACGTTGTATGTTTTTGATTAACTAGAAATAGGCAATTCATGTGAATCGTTCGTTCGGGAAACGACATAAAACTGTTCGCTGTTCCGCTTAACAGTAGTGCAGGACTAGGAAACACTGTCCGAGTGTTTGAGTAATGTGTTCCACGAAATATGTCGGTTCGTTTATTTTTTTTAACGGAACGGTTCTCGGTTCCCAACCGTAGTAAACAATGCGCAAGGGGTTAATTCGTGCTAAGGGGAGGCGCCTCTGGGATACTGACGTCCGATTCACTCGTAGTTTGATTTGTCAACAGAAAGCTGGGCGTCCTCTCCCGCTACACAAAACGGGCTTCAATACAGAGCAGAGACGCTGAGAGAAGGGATACACACACAGATATGTAGGCAGACAAGGATCTCGTTGCACTTTCAGTGGTCGACTCAGACCTCTGACTTATTTAACCGAACGACTTTGATTTACTTGCAACGTATTGCTTTCACTGTATTGGCGCGAGATCAAGAAATCGTGAGGATGCGATGAGAAAGAGGAAAAAGTCTTCGAGCTGGAATATTTCGGCTGGGCGGGCTTGTAAATGTGCCAGAGAGGGAAATATGTTATGGAAGCGTGTGAATTGAGTGACCGAGGCTTTTAGTTTCTAATTAAATCAAAGGGAACTGTTCCCCCCGATACACCTGTCTTATAGATACTCTGCAGACTGGTGGATAGACTTGCTGATGCCAACAACGCCAGATTGCCTATATGGCAGGATCATGAAGTTTTTGACGTTTTTTCTTTTGCTTCCAGAAACCTTAAAAAGGACAAGAAAGAGTGGGAAACAGCTCAGCAAGCTGCCAGTATGCTATGAAATCGTGACTTTGTCCTTGAGGAAGAAGATGGCTGCAGAACTCTATCCTGCCAGCATAAACACCAACCTTCCCAACAGTAACAGCACAGCAGTAACAGCTGCCGGCAAAAAGACCATCGTCCAAGTCACTCAAACGGTGACCACGCCGACTACAACTGCCACTCAGCAGAACATCAACAATAATAACGTCGAGACTGCCAGCTGGCAGTCCACCCATCCGACATTGCGAGAGAGGTAAGGGCTGTTCAGCTTGCTTTTCAAATAATTTAGGCTGTTATCGGTCTATCCAACTATTGTAACCAAAAATGATATTCTATTGCATTTTGTTCCCTTTAGGAATGCTTTGATGTTCAATAACGAACTCATGGCAGATGTTCATTTTGTTGTTGGTCCTCCTGGCGCATCCCAAAAAGTTCCAGCACACAAGGTGAGCGCATCCTCCCGTGTCAAAATGCATCTCCAGTGGCTCTTTCATCAACCGTATGCTTAACCGCTTCTGTGTGGCATTTGTTTTTTCAGTATGTGCTGGCAGTGGGGAGTTCTGTTTTTGGTGCCATGTTTTACGGAGATCTAGCGGAAGGAGAATCTGAGATTCATATTCCTGACGTGGAGCCTGCTGCTTTTTTAATCCTTTTGAAGTATGTCTTGCACTTAATTCTAATGCATATGGGTGAATGATGTGAAGCTTCTTTTCTTTTTCTTGATCTATTCATTTATTCATATATACAATGACTTAACACCCTTTTTTTCTGAATTCTGGAGAGAGAAAAAATCGTAGAAAAAAATCTTTACACAATTGGTTCACTCTTTAGTAATATTTGAAAACCTTTTTTTTCCCCCCAAAGTAATTTGGTGCAACCAACATGGAGAAGAAAATCATAAAATAGCCCCTCATGACCGTGTCGATGTCAATAATCTCTTAAATTTTCAGACAATTTGACTTTTTCTGAAAAAGTTAGTTCAGGATATGAAATGTCATTTGGTGCAACTCATACCCAAATGTCATATTTATGAATACATGATGTTTTTATGTACATTGAAAAATATATTTAAAAACATTTTGACAATAACAACAAATATATGTGTTGAAGGTAAATGTTATTACTTTTTACTTGGTTACTTTGAGTCATCACATTGGGAATTATCTAAAATGTGTTTCAAAACAATATGAATCCAACATGAATACAAAGAGTACACTTTCAAGATGCATTGTAACCTAGATTTTTACTTCTTTTTTTTTCTAAATCATCTATTATTTGTCATTGACCCATGCATATAACTCTAAACTCAATCACTGGTACAAAGCCTAATGCTTGCAAAGCTATTGGAAAGATATGATTTCTTAGCCCTTTTTTTTGTTCACTTTCAGGTACATGTACAGCGATGAGATTGAACTTGAAGCGGACACAGTGCTGGCCACTCTGTACGCTGCCAAAAAGTATATAGTGCCTGCACTGGCTAAAGCCTGTGTCACCTTTCTGGAGACGAGCCTAGAGGCCAAAAATGCCTGTGTGTTGTTGTCCCAGAGTCGACTGTTTGAGGAGCCTGAGCTGACCCAGCGGTGTTGGGAGGTCATTGATGCTCAGGCTGAGCTGGCGCTTCGCTCTGAGGGTTTCTGTGAGATTGATCTTCAAACGCTGGAGATCATACTAAAGCGAGAGACCCTCAACACCCGGGAGGCGGTGGTCTTCCAGGCGGCTCTTGAATGGTCTGTGGCTGAATGCAAAAGGCAGGGCCTGGGACCGACCGCTCGTAATAAAAGGGCAGTGCTGGGCAAGGCTCTCTACTTGGTTCGCATCCCAACCATGACCCTGGAGGAGTTTGCCAACGGAGCTGCGCAGTCAGACATTTTAACGCTGGAAGAGACTCATGATGTCTTTCTGTGGTACACAGCAGCTAATCAGCCCAAGTTGGAATTCCCACTGCAAAAAAGAAAGGGTCTGACACCACAGCGCTGCCATCGTTTCCAGTCCTCTGCCTACCGTAGTAACCAGTGGCGCTACCGCGGACGCTGCGATAGCATCCAGTTCGCGGTGGACAAGAGGATCTTCATCGCAGGTCTTGGCTTGTATGGTTCCAGTGGTGGAAAGGCAGAGTACAGCGTCAAGATCGAACTCAAGCGCCAAGGAGTGACCCTGGCCCAGAACCTAACGAAATTTGTTTCAGACGGGTCCAGCGGCACCTTCTCTGTATGGTTTGAACACCCGGTCCAAGTGGAGCAGGACACCTTCTACACAGTCAGTGCCGTATTAGATGGGAATGAACTTAGCTACTTTGGACAGGAGGGTATGACGGAAGTGCAATTTGGAAAGGTGACCTTCCAGTTCCAGTGTTCCTCAGACAGTACCAACGGAACTGGCGTGCAGGGGGGTCAGATCCCAGAACTGGTTTTCTATGCCTGAAATGTTGTCAGGACGTCCCATTGCAGTGCATTCCGCTCACTGGAATTAGGATGGATTGAATACAGGGTCTTGTGAGGCTCTTGCCTTCATTATGTAGCAGTGGTGAACTCAATGGTAATGACTCTTCAGTACCACAACGGGCTCAGATGAAAGGAATGTTCTTCAGCTTTATTTATTGCAAAAATATATATATTTGATTTAATTATTGAAGCTGCAGCAAGCAGATCTCTCTCTCTCTCTCTCTCTCTATATATATATATATATATATAGTTGTACTGCTCTGATAGTGGACAGAAGCCACTAGTGTGTCATGTTTTGTACATAACTTATTTGTTTTCAGCTTGATGCTGATTGACAAATAAAATGTCTTGTATTAGTGATCAGCTTCCTGAACTGCAGATTATAAATGTTTTTGTGACTCAAGTTCAAAGTTGTTTTGACTTCTTATACATGCACTCATGAAATGCATCAATGAATGATCTAATGATTCTATTCTGCACAGTCCTAGCTTCAGAAGCGAGGGAGGTTGAACTCAATCTATATTTTAACTGCCCTAAAAGTGTAAGTATATACACTTTAAAATAAAAAGTATTTTCTATCTAATGGTGTGCATTATATAATAACTGAAATCTGAAAAATGAAGCCACACTCCACAAATGCATTGGGCTTGTGTTAATGAGACAGTGATTAAGTGTGGATGAAATATTAATCTTGAAAGACCACATAAAGAACCTATTATCCCCAGCAGGCTGCACGAGGAACTGAATAGGAGTCTGTTTGAATTGAGCCCATAGAATCTGCTGCTACACCGTTTGCATTCTAATTAAGGCTTTAGTAAATATGGAGCAGATGCAGCTTGGTAAAACAGCAGATTTTTGACCAAAAAAAAAAAAACCTTACAAAAACAGATGAATATGGAATTATGACACATGGATAGCTGTTAATCAGACTGCATTCTGGGATTATGCCCAGTACTTTAACATTGGGATGTTCTCTGGTGTATACTTGAATCATTTTGTCTCTGCTTCCTATAATCTGAAGAGTCCGTTTTAAAAACTGCAGACATGTTCTGTTCTCATAGTGTGCACAGAAGGTGGAAAAAGGTTTGCAATGAATATGATACCATAATGGATTTTTTGATGACGCAGTGCCCCCTAGTTACATCTGGTTGGACTGCAACTCACTATGAATATAATTTCCAGACAGGTAAAACATTTTCAACCTGGGTCTGAATTACAGAATATTGCAGAAAATGTAGCTCAACATGTCGACTCTGGATGAAAGTACAACAACAGCAAATCTTCTCCCTTTTGATGCAACTGAATCCATAGGCCAGATAAGATGAACAGATTGAGAGTACTTGTATTTATTGATCCAGCCATGGTGTATTATTGAGAACCAATTTAGCAAATGAATTGTTTTGAGAGATGCTGCCTGCTTTATTAATGAGGTTCATTCAAAAGCACTGTTCCGGTCAGCTGAATTACATTAGATCACATAGAGGTCATTAAAGGGACACTTACCGACGGCTGGAGCGTTGATACAGAGTTCTCTAGCCAACAGGAGGAAGGTCTTTCCCAGAATGTAAACATTAACCTACAACAATAAGAAATATAACTGAAAACTGGGAAGTATTCAATGAGTTCAACTTTACATGTTACCAACCACTGATTCTTGACACATGAGGGAATTAAATATGTTACATAATTACTTCTCATTAGTCTTTATAAATAGCAACATTTCCACTTTAAAATTTATCAGAGAAGAACATTCTTTATTCTTTCAAATCCATTATATGACCACCATAAAACCAGATTGCAACCCAGCACTTTGTAGATATTTTAGTGGAAATGATGAAAACGAATTTTCAGGATTCTTCGATGAATAGAAAGTTCGAAAGAACAGCATTTATTTGAAATAGGAATCATTAGTAATATAAAAATCGATGTACTTTAGATCAATTTCAGCATCCTTGCTGAATAAAAGTATTTCTTTTAAAAAAAAATCTTACTGAGCTCAAACTTTTGATCGGTAGAGCAGAGGTCTTCAACCTTGCCCCTGGGGAACCACTGTCCTGCAAAGTTTATCCCAACCTGCTTCAGCACAACTGAATTTCACACCAATACGATTTTCAAGCAAAGCCATGTGAAGACAAGCCTGCAACCTTAGCCAAAAAAAGCGCGTAATGCCTGCTTACGCTGCAGTATACAGAGAAGGAGGCAAGACCTTTTTTTGAATGGATGTCAATGGAGAGGCTTCACTACGCTGAATAAACCACTTTTGTGAGGAAATAGCTTATCTTTAAATGAATCGACAGCCCATTGGCTAACCTTCAACATGTTTGCTCATTTTGGATTGAATTGTGCGACAGGTATGCTTTAGTTTACGGCACTTCTATGGAGTTAATATTGTGCCATAATTAAACAAACAAATCCATTTTTTTTTAAACAAACTTTATCTGCTTTGCAAAGGAAAACTCGACTCACAAACAAACAGAAAGCAATGTGCAATGTGCAAGTACAAAGGTCAATTTGAGCGGAAATGCAGTGGAGTAACGGATATGCATTGTGTTTTGCAAATATAAATAAATGAGCCTAGATAATATTTCACAAATAAATACAAAACATTCTACAAATTTCATGTAACCTTTGAACAAATACCAAATCTAGTGCATACAAATGCATATCTGTCTGTTATGATTGTGAGACATTTGGCTTTTTATGAGATCTCTCGGATCGATTTTCTCACAAATGTGTCCAGGCAGATTTTCTCACAAATGCAGTTGAGCAACTTCCTCTTCTAAAACAGTAGATGGTGCTAAGATAGGGGATTAATTTAGTGCTAGTCTCCCGGGAGAAGCACTGATTTGAAACGTGATTGCCTTTGCCTACAGCTGTGGAAAATGACCGGTGAACAGGTGTGTTTCTGTCTTACTTTATTTATAATTAACCTTTTTGAGGTTTTCTTTTGCAAAATGTTTATTACATATCTAGACAGAAATCTACATTAGCACTTCACTCTCTCTAGGATAGGGGAATCTATAAGCTGAAAGCTCTGCCATCATAAATTGCTTTTTTAATTTTTTTTTTTTTTTTTTTACATAGAAGAGGAAGTTGCTCAACTGCATTTGTGAGAAAATCTGCTTGGACACATTTGTGAGAAAATCGATCCGAGAGATCTCATAAAAAGCCAAGTGTCACACAATCATAACAGACAGATATGCATTTGTATGCACTAGATTTGATATTTGTTTAAAGGGGTCATATAATGCCATTTTTGTACAAGCTAATATGATTCTTTAGAGTCTAAATTAAAACTTTGTAATATACTTTAATTAAAAATTCTCATTAGTATTGTAAGAAAACACTTATTTTACTTGGTCAAAAACAGCTCTGTTTTCAGCACGCCGTTTCAGTGCATATGACTTTAAATGATAATGAGCTTTGCTCACCCCGCCCCTCTGTTCTGTGTACACCGTTTGTAACACAATAACACAATAACCATAACGCATTGTTCAGTATAAACGTGGGATTATGAATTATATTGAGAACATCATACATAGAAAACATGCCGTAATGTACCCTAAGTGTAAACCTTAGATGCATTCATTGTGAAGCGTGCAGCTAGCGATTTACAAAGATTAATATAAATATTAATATAAAGTTTAATAAAACGTTACACTCACTTCAGTTGTTCTAGAGGTTCAGCAGGAACACGAATAGCTGGTACTGATCCTTTTTTCATGAGCAGCTTCTTAGCAAAACCAGCTTTATACTGACCCTCGTTTATAAAGCAGTCTGGTGAGAAATGATTCGCGCAAACATGAGAGCATTGACGTTGCTCGTGGGGAATATTCCCTTCGAAAACAAACTCAGCCACTGCGTCTTCAGCGGTTCGGATTTAGGAACATTAAAATGACTGCTGTGTTCGTTATTACACCCAAGAACAGAACACCACAATCGCTTAGACGCCATTCTGCTCATAGACAGTGCTCCAGCATATCAACAATGACCGCGCCGGTCCGCGCAGACTATGATTGACAGGACGAGCGAGGGCGGGTCTGTGTTGAAACCCGGCTGTCAATCAACAATCGTGGGAGGGGCGTGCGACCTTGTGACGTCACACACTCGAACGGCTCGATTTGAGACAGGGGAAAACATATAAGGAGATTAAAACAAAAACACTGGATGGATTTTTATCATTATATGATGGTTGTTTACAGGCACTGCCAACACACATTTAAAAGTGCATGTACCATTATATGACCCCTTTAAAGGTTACATGCAATTTGTAGGTTGGTTTGTATTTATTTGTGAAATATTATCTAGGCTCATTTATTTATATTTGCAAAACACAATGCATATGTGTTACTCCACTGCATTTTCACTCAAATTGACCTTTGTACTTGCAGATTGCTTTCTGTTTGTTTGCGAGTCGAGTTGTCCTTTGCAAAGCAGATCGAGTTTGTTTGCAAAATGCTGGATTTGTTTGTTTAATTATGGCACAATATTAACTCCATAGACTTCTCGTTCATTTCTATGGTATCCGCAAACAGTGATTGACTGTCGCACAACTATGAACAAAATGAAATGAAGTCAATAATTCAGTAACCTTTAAATGCATCATTATGCAAACACATGAGGAGAGTCTCCGCATGAAAGACCCATGACCTGCAGTGCAGATCAACATGCTGCTACATTTCTCTCCGAAGCGGTAGGAAATTAAATTAAATTGAATGTGGAGGATATAAACTGTGACAAGATGATTGGCAGGGCAGTTTACACAGTGATGCACGCAACTAAGCGACATAGCGGTCCGTTAAAGACGCAATTATGACGAAGTAGTATGTCCCAAAGCTGTATAGTCAAAAGTATGTACTTTTTCTTCACAAAAACTGAACATGGCATAGTATAAGTAGGCGATTTGGGACGCAGCACATCTGTTTCAAGTGATCCTTGAGAGCTTGATTAGCTGGTTCAGGTGTGTTTGATTAGGGTTGGAGCTAAACTCTCCAGGACAGGAGCAGGGTTGAAGACCTCTATGGTAGAGTATATTGTAACATGTTTATATGTGCACTTTTAACAGCACTTCAGAGACCCCACTGTAATGATGAGGGGGTTATGACCCCAGCACCAGGTCCCTAGTTTGCCTGGCATCCAGGCAGGATATATTGGGGGTCTTGTTAGATTTGGGCGTGGCTGCACTTGCTAAAGATTCATGACATATTTGAGCCTCCGCCCCAACCATCTAGTGTCTGTTCAATAGCAGATACAGTTCAGTGGACAGCTGAAGGTGTAAAAATAACATCACACCAGTGCTTAAGCACCAAAATGTCTGACCCTAAAATAACTGCTAATGAAACCTAAACGGTATATATTGTCATAAAGACAGTACTGTCTATGATGTTGTTTAATAAAGCAACAAGGCACTTAAAAAAGCAGTATTATGCTATTGTTGTAAAATCACTGGACCATGGCCTTGATTGTCTTTATCAATAAGATCAAAGATGCAATTCTTGTGCCAAGTAATAGTTGGGTATGTGGGTACCAAAAACAATAATATAGAATTCTTCTTATGTGCAGTCACAGGTGTGAGTATAACAGCTTCTTTCCTGAAATATCCAATCAGATTTCAGAAATACAACATTTTGGCATCTGCATTTATATCTATTGAAATGTCAAACTTGTTGAAAAAGTGGGGGGGAAACCTGGCCTTTCAAATGAACAGAAACTTTGCAAGTATATGAGGTGGATGGAAGCTGGATATCATCATTTCTGACATGGTGTCTGCTTGCCATATGCAAGATAACATACAGCATTTCTTTCATATGTATATGGAGGGTATACAATTTTATTTAATGGTTGAACATCATGCAACTTAGCAAAGCTGCTTATATTGCATTGTTATTCAGAGTATTGTGGAACATATATGAAAGAAATTTAAATGAAAGGGAGCAAACCTGTAAAAGATCACTCAGGTCCAGGAGCATGTCTGCACATCAGTTAAGGAAGGAAGGGAAGGATAATACAAAACAAATGGATTATATCATAAAAATGTTTAAAAGGTGTGATTAAGATCTAAACATCTTTGTCCAACTACATAGCTAAAAATAAGAAGTAAATTATGCTCCTAAATTAATCCTGGTCACAGTGATTAATTAGGCATCGGACGGCTCTGTAATTGTCACTGGAGGAGTTTCGACTTTCACTGATCACCTCTTTACATCAATGGGCTTCAGACAGGATCTCCTTATCTCTGCAAGAGATTCACCCTGACCATCTGTTACTGCTCACCTGATTGGCACACACACCTGAGGCACGTGTCTCCATGGTGACTAATGCCCCCTTTAGCACAGAGATTAGCATCACTACAAGACAAGCTAATCCCACTTTATCAGGAGTCTGACGGCCTTGATCAAGAGAGTATTTATACAATTATGACTGAAATCAGTGATATTGATAACTGTCTTTATCTCTTGAATACTACAAGACTCATGTCTCTATATGGTTTTTAAATCAAAATGTAATGCTTATGTCTAGGACAGTGGTTTCTTAATCTCTTTCTTAGTTTCATAATCATATTTACACAGTCTGAATCATTCCCTATCCCCTGTATAGTGCACGACGTGTCATTCACCATATAGAAAATAGTAAATGTGTGAACAAGTGACCAATTTCAGCCACAGCTTCATCGTCTATTTATAGGGCGGGACGCTTTGGATTCAAGAGAGCATTTGATTGGACAGAAAATCTGATGAGAAGCTGAAGTGCAGAGTAATGTCCTCAAAATCATTGATCCGTATTAGTGGAAGTGAGAGACTGTGAGTTTTGAATGCTTATATCTTTTGTCATTGTTTTGGAGCACACTAGCTTATAGATAACAGTAAAGCTAACATATTCATACTAGTAAAAGATCACACTATTTCATGTGATTTCTGATTTCAGATACTGATCTGATACTATTTGATTGTGATTTGACTCCATTGTTCTTGTTTAATGCTGTGACTCCTCCCAGAATTATCAAAAACTATTAATCATTTTTTAGAGAAATATGATGCATTTATTGAAATAAAGTTAAGACTTTACCATATACTACAAGACTTGTAGTGTCCACTATATTTGTAAGATGCATGCATTTGAAGGGCTCCTTGTCTTTAGAACTGGCACTTATGTATAAAATGTACCAGTAAGCAACAAACCAAGAATCTCAGCATGATATGCCTCTGAAATCATGACCTGTCAGCCCAACAATCGACAGATCAGGTCAGTGAAGCTCATTGAATCAATGTTTCCAGAACAAAAGTCAATCTTCACCTTAGAGAACCTGGTCTAAAAAGATGTACTGTTCCTAAAATGCACTCCAAAAATGTTAAATCACTGCAAATTGGCTAAAATGAACAAGGAAATGCTGAGATATTTGAAAGAAGCTGAAGTTTAATAATCTCACACTTAAAAGTGAAAGTCAAGATAATTCTCACATAAAGTAATTAGTATACACTTGTCCAAAATAATTATGTGTATCATATCACAAAGATGCATGAGATAATTGTAAGGATGTTTGATGAGGCAAAGCAGAACACATTTAAAGGAATGGGTTTGGCGGTCTGTAAAGAAGTGAACGACTTCTTTGTGTTTCTGCTGTTTAGCGTGAAGTACCGAATCTTTGCATGCAACTGAAAGAGCCCCACCCAGGGACAGGTAACAATTCTCCTTTGGCAACTCTAAACGGTACACCAGGTACCCAGACAGGCCTGACGCTACACAAAAGCAGAGCGGAAAACTGGGTGTGACCCAAGGAGACAGATAGGAGGGTGCTTGTAAGTCTGTCTGCTTGTGAGACAGAGAGAGAAAGCAGTGGTGTAACACTATCCAGGCATGCTGCGTTGTAACACAGGTGTGGCGAGTCTCAAACCCACATCATTTTGCACAATTATTTTGACAGGTTGGGGAAAAACAACCTTAAAATTTGTAACAGGGAAATTATATTTTCCTTAAAAACCACTAGCTCCATATTTTCACTACAGTAAAGGGGACATGAATTTTTAGGTTAAAAGAGTGTCACTTCAATAGCTTTTGTACAGAACCAGGACGGAAACTGAAAATCTTCTTCTTCTTTTTTTTTTAAATGAGGGAGTAGTGGCTCAAAGAGCGACTTGCAGGGCTTCTTTTCATGATTTACTCCAGGGAACATCCTCTGAGATTCCAGAAGGTGCAGTAAACTCTCTTCCTCTTCCTCTCTTTTGCCTCTGACAGTATATTTTAGCACTATTGTTTTCACATCCTGACACATCCCTTCAGACCCTGAACAGGGTTTTCCCTAGGGAAAGCATGGACTGGTAAAAGAGACTATTTTAGACCAGAATGAATTTCTACGCTGGTCCAGGTTGGTTTATGCTGGTTTGGTTCTGTTCCAACTTCTGATGAAGCATAGAAAGGAAACACTTTATTTTGATTGTCCACTTTAGACATTCTAAGTAACTTTGCAACTACATGTCATCTAACTCTCATTAAAGTATTAGTAGACTGTCTGCTTAAAATCTCCTAACTCTTTATTTTGATGCGCCCCAACAGACATTCTGCTGACTATAAGTAACTTTGCAACTACATCAACTTATTCTACTTACCAGAATCCTAAAACCTAAGCCCAACCTAACAGTCTAGTACTAATATTCTAATGAGAGTTAAATTAGTTAAAACACAGAGAATAGACTGGTCACGTGACTGTGACCTGCTTGATGTTCAAAAGAGTAAAGCGCAATAAGCTGCGGAAAACAACTCTTTGTCTGACACACACACACACACACATGTAAACACAGTCAGTTGTTGTCTTAAGTGAACTTAAACAGTTGGGTAAGAAATCGGATGTGAGTCAATAGGATCCGTGACAGCAGCCTAATACAGTACACCTGCTGCTGTCGGTCAAACAACAAAAGAGAAAGAGAAAATCACTTACTGCTCTTGACTGAATAACTTTTGTAGCTTTAATATGAATCAATGTATATTTGATTCATGTGAAGACTGCAGTTTTTAATTTTTTATATTTGATTATCAAGTTTCTGTATTGTTTTTTACTTGATTGCTACTGTTAAATAGACCTAATGTAGGCCTACCTGAAAAACTTAAAGCACTGTTTATTTAATTTGTTTCGTTGTTTTATTGTATTTGTCCTATTGTTTGGATTGATTTGTGACATTACTTTTTATGTAATGCGAAAAACACTGCTCTTCACTTTCTGAAGTTGTAGTGATGCTTTCTTTTCCCAGAAAGAATGTAAAACATTTTATATACAGTATATATACATATACACTCACCGGCCACTTTATTAGGTACCCCATGCTAGTAACGGGTTGGACCCCCTTTTGCCTTCAGAACTGCCTCAATTCTTCGTGGCATAGATTCAACAAGGTGCTGGAAGCATTCCTCAGGGAGTTTGGTCCATATTGACATGATGGCATCACACAGTTGCCGCAGATTTGTCGGCTGCACATCCATGATGCGAATCTCCCGTTCCACCACATCCCAAAGATGCTCTATTGGGTTGAGATCTGGTGACTGTGGAGGCCATTTTAGTACAGTGAACTCATTGTCATGTTCAAGAAACCAATTTGAAATGATTAGAGCTTTGTGACATGGTGGAAGTAGCCATCAGAGGATGGGTACATGGTGGCCATAAAGGGATGGACATGGTCAGAAACAATGCTCAGGTAGGCCGTGGCATTTAAACGATGCCCAATTGGCACTAAGGGGCCTAAAGTGTGCCAGGAAAACATCCCCCACACCATTACACCACCACCACCAGCCTGCACAGTGGTAACAAGGCATGATGGTTCCATGTTCTCATTCTGTTTACGCCAAATTCTGACTCTAACATCTGAATGTCTCAACAGAAATCGAGACTCATCAGACCAGGCAACATTTTTCCAGTCTTCAACTGTTCAATTTTGGTGAGCTCTTGCAAATTGTAGCCTCTTTTTCCTATTTGTAGTGGAGATGAGTGGTACCCGGTGGAGTCTTCTGCTGTTGTAGCCCATCCGCCTCAAGGTTGTGCGTGTTGTGGCTTCACAAATGCTTTGCTGCATACCTCGGTTGTAACGAGTGGTTATTTCAGTCACTGTTGCCCTTCTATCAGCTCGAACCAGTCTGGCCATTCTCCTCTGACCTCTGGCATCAACAAGGCATTTCCGCCCACAGAACTGCCGCTCACTGGATGTTTTTTCTTTTTCGGACCATTCTCTGTAAACCCTAGAGATGGTTGTGCGTGAAAATCCCAGTAGATTAGCAGTTTCTGAAATACTCAGACCAGCCCTTCTGGCACCAACAATCATGCCACGTTCAAAGTCACTCAAATCCCCTTTCTTCCCCATACTGATGCTCGGTTTGAACTGCAGGAGATTGTCTTGACCATGTCTACATGCCTAAATGCACTGAGTTGCCGCCATGTGATTGGCTGCTTAGAAATTAAGTGTTAACGAGCAGTTGGACAGGTGTACCTAATAAAGTGGCCGGTGAGTGTATATTGGTTATATAATTTTCAGTTTTTAAATATATTTAAATATAATTTACATTTATTTCACACACTTCAAGCATTATCGTATTGCGTATTGAATTTTTTAACAAGTTATCACACATTGCATTTTTCTTCAATATTGTTGATCCCTAGTTTGAGCTACAGGAATATTGCCTATTAAAGACCTAAAAGGTCAAAACATTTACTCTTTCTTTCTAAGTTGGCTAAATCCTACCTAATTTGGATTGAATGTGCACACTTTTCTCGATGGATTACTATTCACAAAGAGTTTCACTTGGGTTTTACACCCTAGGGATCATTGTGGGAAGGATACGTGGCGTTCCCTCTGTCCTGCAGACCAGGTAGAGGCAGGCGGCTATGACGTGTGTCATCTTTCGCCCTCGTGTCAAGTGCTTGCTCACAACCATCTTGAAGAAATTAAAGGCCGTATCCAGGCAGTGCTGGTTCAGCTGCAGCTGGCTGCCGAGGTTGTGTATCTGCCGTTTCCCTAGAGACAGGACACACATATGCATCAGATTGAGCAAACATACACACATGCATACGCACACGCTTGCACACCGAGGCATGACTTCACACGCAGGTGTTTGGTTTTCCAGTAGCACTGATGTCATGAGAACGGTGCACAGCCAGACAGGCTTTTAGTGGAGCCTGGAAGTGAAAACGGGCAGAAAGACAGCTGTTTTACGTCCTGTGTGAGGCTTCGTCCCTCTTCCCCCTTCTTTCACAGTCGTACATTTACTCCTTCACAGATGATCTCAAAACAGGCCATGTTGTAATTCATTGGACACATAAATCAGTCTGCCCTGAAATCCCATGGCGGCCCTCGATGTGTTTAGCATATTAAAATCCACATTAAAAAAACACAGTCCAATAGTCTATCTGGCAGAGTTCTGTTTACTTAATACATCATTTAGCAAAAGACCTTGTTCACCCAGACAGTGAAAGTCTCCTACATTGTAAACAATGAGAAAGATTTAGGTTGCTTCAGATGGAGTTGATGAGTTTCACAAGTCCAGGTTATTAATTATGCTTGAAATTGCACACATAGACATGTTTATAAGAAACAAATGCTTTCATCGATCTGTCCTCTAAATGTACAAAATGTGTTAATGAATTCAGCAGATGCTTAGAGTAGACGCATCAACCTTTTCTTTGGCCTAGGGATTCACAAACCGGAGTCTATGGACCCCTAGGGGGCTGCAAGTGGGTCCAAGGAAATTTTCAGGGAAAACTTAAAAAAATATATATATTTCTGCCTTATTCTATTTTATAAATACTGGTTGTAAATAATGTTTAATCATGATTACTGTATTCTATTGACAGTTTGTCCAATGTGCATATAGTTTTATATACGTAGTTTACCTTTTAACTGTACTTTTCTATTGGATTTTGTAATCCCACTATATCTATCTATCTATCTATCTATCTATCTATCTATCTATCTATCTATCTATCTATCTATCTATCTATCTATCTATCTATCTATCTATCTATCTATCTATCTATCTATCTATCTATCTATCTACTGTATCTATCTATCTATCTATCTATCTATCTCTCTATATATATATATATATAGCTGTCTTTATACTTCAGGGAGGCGGTCCTTCCCATCATATTTGGGGGTCCTTGGTATCAAAAAGTATGAAAACCCTTGTTTTAGCCTACGGTATAATTAACATAATCACTGAGCCACAGATGTTAAAGTCGATGTTGGACTTTTTGTGTGGATCCCAAAAGCTGCAGTGTCAAGTGTCGTGTTGGCATGCCAAGGGCAAATATAACTCTGAAAGCTTTTAAGAGCGTAATCCCTCTATTCTGGAACCACTGTGTGCCAACCCTTCGTTACACACTCCCGACCTGTCTAATCCCAGAGTATTTTTCACGCTGCACATGCCATTGGATTAGCAGCCAGGTCTGCAGTGACCTCCCTAAATGACAGCAGAATTGCATAACTGCTGCAACACTGCAGGGGCATGAGACACCTTTATATTTAATGAATGAGATCTTGTGTTTGTGACCACAGGGACACTTTTGCCAGTCGGAAATGAGTTTACCAGAATCTTTTATATTAACTACAACTAGCAGCCAGACATATTCATATCCACTTTTATGTCAATCATTTAAAAAAGTCTTTAAAATATGAGCAGATGTTTCTGTGATTAATAGTTGAAGAGTCATGAAGAATCATGAGTTTATACAGTTGGTGACCTTGATTCTCAAAGTATTTTGAGACTGTGTTATCGCTTCCAGCTCTGAAAACGCACCAGTACAGCCAGCTGTAATGGAACAATATGTGAATTTAATGCCACAAAACACATCGTTCTCACAGTTCCTCTGATTAACACACAAGTACATATTTACACAATGCCGTGCCTTATATTTGTTCAATCAACACACACCTGGAATCCAAAGACATTCATCGGGGAGCTCTATGAAATGGATCAACAGTAATTATGTCTTGTGTGATTTTAAGCGCAGATGCAAATGATGTCAATTTATTTAGCGTTCGGGATGTAACTGGGTTAGAAATTAATGTAAATGAGATAAGTAAGGGATAATGTACATCCAGCTAGCCTGACAAGCCAGACCCACATCAATATGTTGGGTCTGGGAACACACCATTGGCAGGGCTCAATCCGAGGGGCGGGATAAACGGTTGTCTTTCAAATTCCCTCTGCACGCAATAGGTTTTCACGTTTGTTTTCAAGTAGCAGGGAATTCACGCGGAACCGTCGCAACTGCTGTCATTATGTTAAGCCCACCCACCGACTCTATACATGATGTGATTGGCCTGACTAGAGTTTGGTTTTTCCAGCTCGCAAGCCAACGGAGAGTTGCTAGACGACCCTGGTTGCAAATGGGCTCTATGCACGCATAGCTTCCGCGTTTGATGCAAGGATGCTCTTGCGTTTCCGGTTGGGGAGATTTAAAGCGGAGGAAAACCGAGGAAAACGGGATTATGGCAGAGTCTTCAAAATTTACTGTCCTCTTGTCTTTGAAACGAAACTTTAATACGTTTAGATGTAATTTTATATATAGTTATGTTTATTTAATCTAATAAACAAAGAAGCATAAACAAAACGAGGGGTGTCTGTTTTGTCTGTTTTTGTGACTAACGTTTCTTTAGTATAGCAATAGAGTATAAAAACCAATATAAATCCTCGGTATAGCATTGGACTCTACGATCGGCGGAAGTAATCCAGCATCCTTAGACCTTCACCGGCAATACCGCCGTGCATAGAGCCCATTACGTCTAGATTTCTAGGCTAACATCCAGCCGGTGGTTCTCTCAAAATAACCCCCGACAGGATGATGAGGACCCCGACGCGAAGTGGATGTTCATTATCCCGCTTATTACATGGCTACTTGCCACATAAGTAAATAATTAGACACAAAATACCATTCATTTCAATGGTGAGCGGGCGACTTCCGGCGGCACGCGCGACAGCGACCATTGGCGACTAGATGGGGCGTGTCTGGCGACGCGACAAAGTTGAGAAATTTTTTAACTTTATGCAAATGAAGAGCAATTTTCGCGAGCGACAACCAATAGGAGTGGAGCGCACGTGATCCTTCTCCTCAGCCCCTGAAGTACTGCTGGAACCGGACTTCATCCAGCCGCAGTTGCTGCACCAGCCGGTGGTACTCGCCGTGCTGTCTCCGAGCCCGAATGGTCTCGTGAACCCAGATAGACCGGCGTTTGCGCTTATGCCGTAGATAAATGGCCGCAACGAGAAAAATCGACTTCTGTGTCTCGTTCATCTTCATGCTTCACTACAGACGTTTTTATGTACGGAGTATATTTATATTTAGTATTTTCCCTCCAGAAATTGTGTTTTTTAGCGGCAAGAAAGCTGATTCGCTGTCTTTTGGATGTCATACTAGTCAACCAGTAGTGGGAACGCCCACTAGCGACCTCATCGCCAGCGACTGGCGACTTGCAGCGACAAAGTCGCGTGTAGTGTGAACGGGGCTTAAACGGACATTTAAGAGTACGGTATACGGTACGGTATACAGTCATTCATACCACTTATTACACAGCATTTCGCCACATAAATAATTATGGGGATAAGATATATTGATTTCAGATTAAACTGTTTTAAAATCGTACCTGTTTGTATATCATAATCCAACAGTGTACAAAACAATAGTCACAAAATGGCAGCAGCTGCGTTTGTATGAAACAAGAGAGAGCGAGTCAACGATACTGGATGGCATAATTAAATAACTGTACACAAAATAATGATTCGACTGAGTTTTAATATTTTATTAGCTCACCAAACACAAAAAACTTCCACGAAGAAAAAACGTTCCTAGCATGCGTATAGCACTGCTGACTTCAGTGACCCGGATCTGTTTTGAGGTAGTACCCCAGAGTGCAGTCTGGACGATGGGGCGGGGCGACACTTTTAGGCGGGGCGACACGTGTCGCTCCGCCCACCCCCAATTTAATTGGTTTATAATACCGCAATCTTATTGGTGTAAACGATTCAGGTCTGAGCATGCGCATTCCTTTATGTACAATTTTGTGAATGATTTGGCCGTATCAAAGAAAAATTAAATGCTAACTTTAATCGTATCTTATTATCAGTTTACCATTTAATTTTTGTTAATATCTATTGGCTAATACTTTATTATACTTAAGACACAGTATAGATTAAGTTATTGTTTAAAAACGAACGCTTGGTGACGTTACTTGTACTTCAGGGAGATGTTTTACATTAGATTAGTTCGTCATTCACTTGGCATCTTCATATTTCTATCAGGATCGGTGGATCAGCACAAACTCGGGATTTTACGCAAATGATGATAATTGACTGTAAGAATGTAAGCAGCTGATTTTAAATTCTAAAGCATGACCGTTTTTTGTTGTCATTTTTTTAACGAGATTGTCCAATGCTTGCATTATTTGGTACAAAGTGTAAATAAAATGTTTAATGGCAAACACGTTTCCTGGTTGATTACCTGTTCATACAATATGAGGGCCTATTGGTTCTGTAAAGCCTTATGTTATATTTTTTAAAGATTCATGTTTTCTAATAAGTGTCAACCGGTTATGTACGACTGTCTATCTGTGACATCAGGTAGGCTATATTAAAAATCCAATTGTTTATTATTCCACCATCGCATTGCATGTTCATGTTCATGTAGGCTACTGGATAAAAATGGTTACAAATATTAACACTCACATGTAGGCTAGCTGCATAACCATAAAAAAAACATGCTGCTATAAATCTGTGCAATTATAATAGGCTGTAATAAAATAAATATAAAAATAAAATAAAACACACTTTCGGATTTATCCTTTGTTTTACTGAAATACAGGGAATTATCATAATTTGTGTAAAATCCCGAGTTTGTGTTTATTCACTGATCCTAATGGAAAAACGAAGAAGCAAACGAATGATGTAAAATTAAGGAGCTCTGCATGACATGCGGAAAAATATTGTCTAAATCAGCCCACATAGAAATGATCTCTCCTTTGATCTGCCAGTAATTTCATGCAGTCATGCTCATTGCCCACCAAAAGTGGCACTGACTTATCTGCAGGGTAAATTAATATAGTATAGCTAGGCTAAATCTCAAACAGTGTATTATTTATCAGCAACATATTTTGTGATATCGCCAAGCCATAAAACTGCTCAATATTAAGCTTACAATATGACTTTTTGTAAAGCTGCTTTGAAACGATGTGAATTGTAAATACATTTTGACAGTCACTTCATCTAACTTGATTCGTAAGTTCATCAAAACATTATCCAATTGATCGTTACTGAAATCGCAATGGTTATCACTTAATATAGTACGGCCAAACAGCGTCATAGATAATTCATAAACTCGTACATAAAGGAATGTGCATGCTCGTGCCTCAAGGGTCTATGCCAATAAGATTGCTGTATTATAAACCAATAAAATTGGGTGTGGGCGGAGCGACACGTGTCGCCCCACCTAAAAGTGTCGCCCCGCCCCATCGTCCAGACTGCACTCTGGGGCTACTCGTTTTGAGCGGTTGTTATCTGGGAATAACTTACCGCTGGATGGCGCTATTGACCAATCAGAATCAAGTATTCCACAGAGCCGTGTAATAATGAAACATAATATTGAAGGAATATTTATCTAAATACGAGAAGACTGTGTGATGCATCTAATGCCATATTTAATTATATTAGTTTTAATTACAGTCAATCATTTGGCTTTGTTCCAAAATATGTGGAATATAATGCAAGATACCTATGGGGCTACTTTTATTTCACTCCTTTCCCATTCACTTTCATTATGTGGAAAAGAGTGTCCAGGGCATTCTTAAAAAATTCACCTTTTGTGCTGTACAGAAGAAAGTCAGTCATACGGGTTTAGAACGTGTAAATAATGACAGATCTTTTAATTTAGGGGGAAATATCACTTTAAGTTTTAAAAACATGATTATTTACTGACTGCACCTACACACTGCTACTGACTAATATAAAGGTGCCCCTACCGTTCTGGAGCGTCTGAGCTCGCGATTCTTTTCCCAGACTTGTGTGGAACCCACTGCCCAGGACCGGAGCTTTGGAAGTACCTAAAAACAAAAACAAAAAAACAATGTATTATTGTAAATAAGAATAGGTTTGACTTACAGTATATAAACAGGTGTATAAATACAAGCCTATTATTACAGGTGACAATTTAAGCTTTTAAATACAGCTCTATAGCACACTCCAGTGGCTGTTTGTGTGAATAACCTACCAGTTGCCAATGTCTACTGCACTTCACTCTACACAAGTGTTCCTATTAGCAACCAAAAGGGATTGATTGACACCCCTGAGACTGATAACCAAGTATACTGATAAACAAGGAAACAGTGACAGGAAATTAAACACAACAGTATTTCGCTTTGCCTTTATGTAAAATATTGCCCAATTATATATTTCTCTAGCTAGTGCAGCTTTGGTCAAATCATGGCACTGAATGTTAGCTTCTGCTTTGGGTATGTTACTGTTACATATCAAATCCCCAAACTGACATGCAGAACTAATGATATTCCACAAGCCTCTCTTCGTTTGCTTTCAACTGTGCGAGGTGTATGGAAGTTATATTACCACTGATCCACAAGGTCTGTTTATATAATGATGAACACCTAAAGTTCAACATATATAATAATACATTTAGTTAAATCCAAAGTTGTAATGAATTTTAATTTCTCCAGGTGCCATTGTAGGTACGCTGTCATGGCTCTATACCACAAATGATCACACAATGGCTTGGTTTCACAAACAGGAATTAGATTAAGCCAGTATTAGGCCTTAGTTCAATTAGGATATTTAAATAGCTTTTATAAACATGCCTTGGGAAAAAACATGGTGTGCATCTTGAGACAAAACGATGGCACGGACATATTTTAAGATATGCCAGTGCAAGTTGCTTTCAGTTAAAACAGCGCCTCAAACATGCATTTTAGTGTGGGACTAGGCTTAAAACTGGTCTGTGAAACCAGGGGAATATGGAATATGTTTTAATCCTGATATCAGTGCATATTTTTAAGTTGAAAATGTAGTGTCTATCATTAGTGAGGATCATATACATCCATGTGTGGCTACAAGTTGAACAACTGCTGTGCGTCTCTGAGGGCTTCCTGTTTCTCCTGCCACACCCGAAACCAGGCAAGACTTCCATTAAAAAAAGGAAATTATTCATTGGTTAGTTCTAGAACTATCATATCTAGAAGTCTTGCATATGCTATATTTCTTAGAATATTGTTTTCTGTTGAACGATGTCTTGTAGAATGACATCAACTTCCTTTTTAAGCTGAATGTTGTTTTGACTGACCATACGGGAAAAGAGAATAAATTCTCTCTCTCAGAGACCTGCACGCTGCTGGTTGACTGGTCTGCGAAAGAGATCCCCAGTGAAGAAAACTACATAGAGGTAGGATTTTGAGAGGCAGGCAATATAAATCCTGTCTGGTTATGCAGCAGTGTTATTGTTAACTAAAATTATTAAAAATTGGTTACGCTTCCTTTTACAGTATAGTACTTACGTGTACTTACAGTGTACTTACCTAGAAAGTACTGGCTAATATAATGGGTTAGGGGTAGGTTCAGGGTTAGTACCTAGTTATTACCCAGTAATTATAATTACTATAATAAGTACACAGTAAGTACATGGGTAACAGGACTGTAAAAGGAAGCATTACCAAAAATTGTTCCCGCTAATTTAAATTAAATATAAATGTTGGCAACTACACTGTTGCCAACATTTATATTTAAAAAGTTGCTGTCTTAAATTAAGTACAATCAACTTGGATATTTAAGTAATTTTAATTTAATTACATTAAACTAACTTTAAAAAAAATGTGTTGAGTCTTGTATATCAAAAAAGTAGAAAATTGCTTAACTTTTTTTATTGAGTTACAGCAATGTAAAAACATATGTTGTCATAACTTATTGATCATATTTTTTTTACAGTGGAAATTAAATAAAATGTCTTAAAACTGAAAAATTAAAGCTAAATATAAAAACAAAATAAAAATGACAAAAAGCTACTAAATTACTCAAATTTAAGCTAAAATCTAAATAATTTTTAAATATCAGCGCTAAATCAAAATATTAATAAATGCCATAAATAATACTAAAATAACACTGGTAAGCAGCTGTATTCAACATTATCTGATGTTCTCTGAACTAGGTGACGGTAGTGAGAGATACACCCCGCACTACTGAAGAAGCCTGGCTGGCTCCTCTTGCTTTAGTAATAAATCCTGATGCTGTGATGATGGCATGTGTGAACTTCTACGGTTTGAATTTCTCATTGTTAGCTCTGTATCCGCACTTGTAGGCCCAGCGATCTGCCATCTCTGAGTGGCAGATAATGTTCCCGAATCAGGCACGCTTGGATGCGATGTCTATCTCTGACGCCAGGCGAATGGGATACACGGTTGATTCCACTCCAAAAAGGGTGGTCTTTCGCTCTGCCTACAATCAGCCATATTCAACAGTCACAGCAGGTGAGATTAAAATGAAAGGGATTGTTCACCCCAATATGAAAATTCGGTCATTATTTACACATCCTCTTGTTGTTCCAAACCTGTATGATTCACTTTCTTTAGTGGAACACAAAATAAATATATTTTGAAAAATGTCTCAGTATGCTGCTTCAATGTATATGTAATAATGAGTGATTAATAATCAAGGATAAGCATTTCTACATAAATCATTTCTATATTCAATGAGTGATTCAAATATACTTTTAATCATATGCTTGCTGTGAGTGTTAACCAGCTGCTTTTAGGTACATTCTGATGTGACCCTCAACATGTGTTGTCTATATATCTGTTTCTAGCTGACGAGTTAAGGTTTCAGGAGTCCAACTATACGTGACTTCATCTGATTTACAGAACTGTACCTCTTTCATGTGTATTTCTCTAGAAACTAAAGGGAATAGTATCTGTACTTCTTCCTGAGGAGGGAATGTATTATCGGTATGTTTTGGTAGTTTGTCCTGATGATAGTTAGCTCAGGCCCTCTTCAACCTTGGAGAAACTGTGATTCCCTAGTGCTTTTGTGTGTACGTTGGATGTTCTGTGCAGGTCTTGTATGAGCTATGGGACACTTCGGCATGCAACAACAGACCCGAAGACGCCTTTCTCCGTCCTCCGAGATCACCGCAGACCTAAATCTAGGAATCGTGCGACAACTATCTTGACTAATGGGGACATACTCTCCTATCTATCCATGTGTGGAAATTTGCTTAGACTATGGTGTTCTTAGCCAATCAGAATGGCCTACAAACTCCTACGAGTCTTGAAGCCGACTTCTGCTGATGAAACGGCAAACTATCTTCAGTAAATCTTTTCTTTAATTTATTATAATTCTGACTCCGGGTCTTCATTCATCATATCTGGTTCTGGGTCTTTAACTGTTTACCCCTAACAATTCTTTCAGTTATTTACTTAGCGAGTCTCACACATTCACTGAAAAAAGCTTACTTGAGCATTGCGAAAGAAGGTGGATAAATGTATGTATAGATTTTCTTTGTGTGTGTGTGTGTGTGTGTGTTTTCGTGAACTATCCCTTTTAATGTTAATTGTGCAGGTTCTACCATGATAATAGAGTTATGCAGGTATGGCATCACTTTGTAGGCCAAAACGCGAAAGCGAGTTAGCATTTTAGTACTTCCGGTTCCATCGTCCCGAAGTTAATGGGTTTTTTTAATGGGGTTGTGGTTAAATTGCTGAAATCAGGTCTGGGGTAAACACAAGCTCAAGACACTTTCATGTTTTATTATACGATTTAAAATACATCAGTATTACCCCACTTGTGATTTCTCTAAGCTCTTTAAAAAGGCTACAGCGGCTGTCGAGGAGATTTAAACGTCATCACGCCGAACAGGTAAACTCAGTTCGCTTTTACAGCCTCGTTATGCTTATATTTGTGCTCTTATAAACTATTCTGGTTTTTTTAGATAAAAACTGAAAGAGTTGTTGGAAGCTTGGTAATGACGTTGAAGTCAAGCAACCGTGGTGTAGTTTGTTTGTAGCCTTTAGCTTTTTACTTCTGGCGACCGCATTTAGGCTTCAAAATTCATAAAAGTTGTGTTAGTTAATCTGTGATAATTATCAAAAACGTGCAAGTATCATAAAAATTTGTTGATCACAGAGCTTGTTTTTAGCGATAATCCAAAAGCCTATGGGAAAATCCTATTGGGTTTTGTCGAGGGAACCAGTGTGATGCTAACTGCCGGTTGGCCTACAGAGTGACGTCATACCTGCACCACTCTATGTCTCAGGATTTTTAACCTTGTTTCCTCAGATTGACAGCATTGCTGTAGAGGTGATTCATGCTACAGGCGTAAATGGGCGGTAGTGATGCTTGACACATCTGTGGCATGTATTATAGGTAACTCATTGGCCATGTTTCATTTCTGATGCATTATAGAACTAATTGTTGATGAACTATGAAATGTAAATAGTATCTTTAATGTAAATAACAGCCGTATAGACGTTCAAGCTGCATAGGCCGTACTTTTCTCTCAGTCTTGTATCTCTATCAGCCCCTAGCTCATTTAATGGAGTGATTTTGCACTGGAGAATTTCTAAAGTCACGACCCTGCTGGTGCAGGAACCCTTTGGGTTTGTAAGCAAGAGCATTAAGCTGGGTGTGGATGCTCAGCTCTTGGACGAGGCCACCAGGAAAGATATGGGTTACATCATATGACAAATTGAGAGGGACTCTGTTCTTCCCTGGTATTGATAAAAAAAATGATAATTTTATGTAAAAAAATAAATAAATTGGATCCTGTTGATTACCAATTTCCACGTTCACAGATCCAAATACTGAAATTCTAGACCTCTATTTCTTGTTTGTATGAAAGGAATCAAGCAATACCAAATCATTTTAAATTGTCTAAAAAACTAAATATTTGCCTTTAAGAATGTTACCTGTTTACAATTCTTTTCCTATTTTTAGTGACGTATAATTCTCCAAAATTGTCATTTTTTCCCATTATTTTATTGCTTTTAAATCACCCTTTTTTCTTGTCCATTGTTACACTGTATATTGCTTTCAGCGTTAATAAAAATGAATACATTAATAAAAATGAAAAAGACAGGCTTGGCACTGGTGCCCCTCCAAACAGGTGGATGATGAACCTGTGTTCAGGCTCAATTGAAGTTGAACCACTCTTACCATCTGCAGATACAAACTGGCCAACTGCTGAAGACACCCCTCCGCTGTTTTCCACAAACTGAACCTCAGAAACGATGATATTATCCTCCAGAACCGAACCACAGGCTGTGCAGACCGCACTCCCCCGGGATGGGTCTGTGTCGATGTCTGCTCCACCACAGTTCTTACACTGACGGCTCATACTGGCAGGAAGATTCAGACCTGAGGAAGACAACATGTACAACATTACTGAACAAACGTTTGGCAAAGACACACATCATCTGCATCGTCAGTTTATTATCATTCGGACAGCATAATAATAAGATTCTTCATAAAATTGTTTCATAACATGTAATATGTTATGGCCGATATAGTAACCAAACTGCGTCCAGACCGGGATTAGAACTCGGGTCGCCGGCTTGCTAGCGTAGCTGATATTCCGCTCTGCTACTCAACAGACTACGCGCGAAACACACACAATGCTCAGTTTAGCCATTTTGACTATCGTTTATCACATAGTATTTCTTATATATTAGGATTCATTTCAAATTAGTATTATCTCTAATGTATATTTATAGTATATATAAACCTTGCTAAGCTAATGTTTTGATATGATTTATATGTAAACATATGCTACAAAATGAAAGCTAACGTTAGCTTGCACAAGACCTGTATGATACGATCGTAAACATAATACACACAGCTCAATGTATTGCTTTATTTTTTATTTCATAATATACAGACGCGCATAAATATACAAGTAATTTTATGTTATTAACGTTAGCCTTCAATAGCAAACCACTCACCAGTCAAAGGAAGTAAAGACTTGACTTAAGATCAAACAGTTTAAACCGGTATCCTCTTATAGTTAGCTTTTCACATAAACTATTTAATTGGCAAGCATTGCATTTCATTGAGCAACATGTCTAGAAGATATGTTAAAATATTTAATTTTATCTAATAACACCATTACAGTTCAACCAAGGCTATTTCTACCCAACTAGATACGACATTATGGGCTGTTATAAAAACTGAATATAGAGGGGTGGCCACTATACAACAGTTCCTTGTTTAGATATTTTGATGAGTTAATTTCACTAATATGAGCCATTTATGACATAATAAATCTCTAATAGAAATATTAATCATAAATGTATATTTATTACAATCTCAGGTAATCAACTCAGTTAAACGTTTACACTCAAACCCCCCCATTTTGATGTGCACTGGGCCAGTGGCGGACCCCGGTCTTAAAGCGCGATAATATGAAGGGTGTGAGTTGTTTAGCCGATACTTTATTGCACTCTTTCTCTTATTGACTTACTAAAATACAGTATTATTCGTTATATTTGTAGTCGTTCGTCTGCCCTTACTTTAAACACCGACGGATTAAAATAATAAAATCGTTCATCGATTGGATTTAAGACTTTGATTTTGACAGAATTTATAACATGTTGACCAGGAAGTAAATGGTGCGCTGTTCAAAATGTGAGCTGAGAGGTTGAGTGGGTTAAAATAATAATCAAACGTTATTTTGTTAACGTTGCACCGTTTAAATGGAGATTCGCGGGATGTGATGGAGTGGGAACAATTTGAGCTAAATCCAAGGATTATTGCTGCTGTTAAAAAAGGTTGGCAAGAAATCCCGCTCGAGTACATTCAGTCTAAAGTTGAATTCGCTACTCGTTTAATGTTGTTTTATTGTTTGTAAGCCCATTTCAGATCAGCGAAGGAGATCCTCTGTGTGTCTGGTCCAGATCTGCAGAGACTGGCACGCTTGTCAAAGACTGATGTCCTGCGCCTTCACTGTGCAGTAGCAGCCGCTGTGCGCAAGACCAGCCCGGTCACAGGTGGCCTTCAACTATTACTGCAACAGAGAATCCGCTATTTTTGAGGCAAAACTCTTATTTGAATGTATTCTCAGCTCTGCAGCTGATCCGGGGAGAATGTCCTGTTTTGGAGCCCGGACACAGGCTGTCTTTTGCCTGCCCCGTTCTGGACGGTCTGATGCGCGGTGGTCTCCCGTTACGAGGAATAACAGAGCTGGCAGGAGAGAGTGCTGCTGGGAAAACTCAGTTTTGTTTGCAGCTTTGCTTGTCTGTCCAGTATCCAGAGGAAAACGGAGGGCTGAACTCAGGTAAAGACGTGAAGCCTCTTTTTTTACTCCATTTCTACCCAATAAAATAAATATTGAATTGCATTTTAAGATAAAAAATAAATAAATTCCAATGTCCATCCAATACTATAATTAAAATGCCCTCATATATCCAGGTTTTCCCAAGACTGGAAATTCCAATTATTCCATGATAGAAAAAAAAAAAACATTGTTAAGGGGGTTCAATAAAATAAAGAATATCTTGATTTGTCTCCTTGTGAGGCCCAGCCCCCTGATTGAGAACAACTTCTAAAGACCATTTTCATTACAACAACTATCATAAATGCAGCAAATAGACATTTCAGTATCTTGTCAAACCTGAGCACTGTTTGAGATATATCGTCTGAAACTCTTGTGGCAACATGTGAGATTACTAGGGTAGAAGGAGAGTTGAGAAGAAAGTAATTGTTTTGACAAATCTCTGGTGAAATACTGTTTTAAATCACATTTGATATGGTCATTTAACAGGAGCCGTTTATATTTGCACTGAGGACTCTTTCCCCATCAAACGACTGCGGCAACTCATTACCCAGCAGTCCCGGCTCAGACCAGATCTGCCTCCAGCTCTGATCCACAGCCGGCGTTTAACTGACAGCATCTACATCGAGCATGCAGCTGACCTGGTGAGACTGGCAAAAATTCCTCTTAAAGGGATAGTTCACCCAAAAATGAAAATTATGTCAGTAATTACTCAACCTCATGTTGTTCCAACCCCGTAAGACTTTCGTTCATCTTCGGAACACAAATGAAGATATTTTTGATGAAATCCGAGAGCTGGATCACTCCTTCATAGGCTGCTAGGTAATTGCATCTGCCGGCCCAGAAAGTTAGTAAAAACATTGTTAAAATAGTCCAAGTGACTCAAAGTCATGTCAGAGTCCCACACGAAAGAAAATGAATGGTTGAATAAAGTCGTTATTTTTGTTTGTTTTTTGCGCACAAAAAGTATTCTCGTCACTTGATAAACTTAAGGTTGAGCCACTGTAGTCACAGTGTTTCCGCTACATTCATTCTGCAGTGGCGGGCCGCCACACCTAAAATCATCCCGCCACGGCTGCAGCTTCTCGGTCCGATATTGTGTGTGTTATTGTTAAGCCCCACTAAAGGCATTCAAAACATTGTAAAGCACCATAACGTTTTCGCACTATATTCCAAGACTTCTAAAGTCATTCAATAGCATAATGTGAGGTAAAAATGTATATTTAAGTCGTTAAGTTAAAGTTAATGGAAACTTATCTCTCCTCAGTCATTCTCCATTCAGCATTCAAACAGCGCGTCGCGTTCGGTTACGACAGTAACACGACGACACTCTCTTCAAGATCAATGTTCCCATTATTTTACTTTATTTGTAGATAAAGGTCTATAGTTTGCATACAATTGCTTTATCTTGCTGGAGTTTATAGCGCTTTCTAAATCATATTCCTTTGGTGTCTGTTACAACAGCACTAGAGTAGAGCGCACTATGAATTGTTCTTCATGTGTACTGTAAGTTAACTGAAATTTAAAACTGTTAAAAGAAAAGGCTCAATAAACTGTTGCATAGATATAATGCATTAAACATAGATAGATATAATCTCTTCTCTTTGTGCTTTGAACTTTTCAATGCGAAGCGCTGCACGCTGTGACTTTGCGTTGCTTCAAGTGCATCACTCTGCGCACGGGATGTGCATAATCGCTTTGCCGCTCTTATTGACGCCTTTCATGTTATAATGCTTAGGGGAGGTTTAAACACCTGGGATAAGGGGGCGTGGCCAATGGGAATATCACGAAATGGGCCACGCCCCCTCCCCCTGGCGAAATGGGCCTGCCACCACGGCTGGAAAAAATCCTAGAGGAAACACTGAGTCACATGGACTATTTTAACGATGTCTTTAATACCTTTTCTGGACCGGCAAATGAAATTACCTAGCAGCCTATTAAGGAGTGAGCCAGCTCTCAGATTTCATCAAAAATATCTTAAATTGTGTTCCGACGATGAACGAAAGTCTTACGGGGTTGGAACGACATTAGGGTGAGTAATCACTGACAGAATTGTCATTTTTGGGTGAACTAAGCCTTTAACAAGTTAATAACCATTAGAAAGGTATTAATGCTGGTGCATATGTGAGCAGGAGGCTCTGCAGGCGTGCGTGTCTCAGCGTGTGCCTGTGCTGCTGAAGCGAGGTCTGGTCAGACTGGTGGTGGTGGACTCCGTGGCTGCTCTGTTTCGCAGTGAGTTCCAGGCTGATGAGGCTGTGCAGAGGTCACGTCACCTGCTGGCTTTTTCCAGTACACTCCACCGCCTGAGTCATGCATATGGCGCACCTGTAGTCTGCGTCAACCAGGTCAGACCGCCATCTGACTTCTAACACGTAATCAGAGATATTATACAATATGTGCTGTAAACGCTATAGACCTTATCATTTGAATTTAAATAACACAGAAATAGTTCTCACTGTATGATATTTATCTGTTCCAGGTTACAGATGTTATGGACGGCCCAAATCCCGGAAGGTGCGACTATGGGTGAGTGTGTTTGTGTCCGTTTTGGCAGCAGCAAAAGGGCCAATATATAACAGCTTAGCTCATTTCAGGAGACTTAATGTAATTACTAGAGATGTGCGCCACGACTAATTTCATTAACGTTTAAACAGAAATTTTGTTTAACAAACTCAAAAAAATGTGTATATGAATATTTATTTGAATTAGTCAACTTAATCTATGAATCAAAAAGTCATATCCCATACTAAATGCAGCTAAAAAAATATATGCAATGTGCTTGCCTTTGCATTAAGATCATTGTTCATTAAACATAAGCCTTCACTTAATCAACATTAACCAATATAGACATATTTATTCAAATCACCTGAATCATTAGACAGTGTAGCCTATTAAAATCAGAATCCCTCAAATAAAATTTAGCCAACACAATTCAGCATACATCAAGCAAGGTATTGTTGTTCATTACCGCCGCTTTTGTATCTGGGTTTGAATGTGCTTCTCTTGTATGAAAAGTACATGTACAGACTAGGGCTGGGAAAAAAATTGATTTGATTTAAAAATCGAGTTGGTTGGTCAAATCGATTCATATTTTCAAAAAATCGATTTTTTTCTCCCCCTCTTCAGTATACACGAATCCGACGAGCGTTCTGTGTAGGCTGCCATCTTGTGGCGACGCCATTACTGAGCTGTTACCGGTATGTAAACAAACCTCCGTGATAACGCACCCTCGATGACAGCTACAGCCAGGCTGAATGACTTGTTGGGTTGATGATGTTAGACAGTGGCTTCCAGTCACAGATGAAGGTACAAACGATCTTACAGATTATTTATGAAAATAGCTTGGTAAGCCAGCTAGGCTAACGTTAGCTAACGAGGAAACTATAAAAAGATCTGTCCATTTGGCAACAATAAATAAACGAATGACATCAAATAAACGAATTCATGTTTTTCATTTGTGTCCATTATTTATCTCATTTTCACATTGCAAAAGGCAAGGGTAAGGTGCAGCTAGAAAGTATACATAATATCGACAAATTAGTGTTTTTAAACCATGGAAAGAGGTCAATATAACAGCAGGAGAACAATTATGTCACATAACGTTACATTTAGCTCAGGAAAGCCATTTAATTACCATAGCATGTTAATTGAATAGAAAAATTAGCTAGAGAGGAGATTTTGCTGAGCACTATATTACATATTTATTATATATTTTTTACTTATGTCATTAAATAATTGTTATTATAACAAAAACTGCATTATATTTAATTTAATTTGTTATTTAAAAAAAATTCTGTCACAGTCAAGCAAATCAAACATTAACAACAGACATAACAGTAATGTTACTAACGTTACTGCCCCAATGCGCCCTTTACTGCCGCCATTGAAACAATTTAAAACGGAACATGTTTTCCCACTCGACATTATAAAAGTTGTAACGTTAGTGACAGTCGTAAATCGCGGGCTGTTTATTCCAGTGGATGCAAGTTGCAACTAAAACAATAGGAGGCAATGGCGCAACGCTACCCAGCAACAGCTCAGTAATGGCGCCCGCTTACTTCCGGTAGTTTCACCGGATTCGTCTATAGAGGGGTTTCACCAACGTCACGTTCTGGGCGGTAACCCGGATGCGCGGCCATTATGGAGGCACTCGGATGTAAACAACAGCATGAATTGCACTGTTCATGTACTACTGAACACATTGTTACACTAATAAACCACGGAAAAAACACGTGGTAGGTGCGAAATCATATAGAGAAGGACTTGGGAAGCAGGAGAGAGCGCAACATTTTGACAAACTAAAGTTAATATGTTTTATGTGGTCACATTATGTGGTAGCTGCTAAAGATCGAAACGAGTTAGCTTCTCTAGCACGTAACATTACTGCATTTCTTCCATCTATTTAGTATCCCGAAATAAGATACGTTCAGATTGTCAGTCCAAAAAAGCACATGAAATTCGTTTCAAGTTACATCCATATGTGGTTTGAAATCCTATTCAAATCACATATCAGGACATCAGCCTCAGTCTGAACGATCGGATTTCGCGTGGTATGTCTTAAAATGCAAACGTCATTTATAGGAAACATGCTGAAAGTCACTGCCGAAACAATGCTGTGTTGTTGCAAAGTGCCAGACGAGCAGAAAAGTACTATTTCTGAAACCGGCGCAGACGAGCGTGGGAAAAAAGCAGTAACGTTACATACCAGCCTCCTACAGTTCTGCCGTAGTAGTCCAGCGCGGCGGCTATACACATTTCCATGTTGTAACATTTAAAAAAGACAACATCTAACATTATATTGCAAATGCAACCCCTCCATCAACGCAAAGTCATTGCCATATTACCAAATAACATGCATGGACACACACGTCGGATCTGAACAGTTGCGATACACAGTGTGGACATCATTTTAGATCAGATTCCAATTTGATACAAAGATAATCGGATTTGGACTGACAGTGTGAATGTAGCCATAGTTAACTACGTCGACATTTTAGCCATAGTCAACGCTTCATTTACACCTGTCTGATGATGTACTACCTCTCTCAACCACAAACGCCTTCTTTCGTCAGTTTTTTGCACTCTTCTCTTTAACTTTTGACAGTCTATAGCACTCGACATGTTTTTTCCCGATGTGACCGATTGGTACAGACAAAAACTCGACCATTTTTCAGCAGCAATAATCAGCCAAATTTGCGAGTCCATTAAGTTCAGTGGCATTATTTACGTTCTGTGCCTCCAAAATGGCCGACTTCCGGATTGATGACGCGTCGTGAAACCCCTCTATAGCGTACATTTTGCATTGGCCAAATCTTCCTTCGGTGTTTCCGTAGCACGCTCCCTGCGGCGCAGTTCGGGTACGACAGTCAACACGATGAAACTCTCTTCAAAGATGATTCAATGTTACTATTATTATACTTGATCGGTAGATAAAGGTCTATGGTTTCGCATAAAACAACTTTATATTACTGGACTTTATTGCTGTAATCATATTACTTTCTACCGGGTGTCTGTTAGATCACAACACTAGAGTAGAGTCAGAGCACTATGCTAATTGTTCTTCACGCGCACAGTAACTGAAATTTAAAACTGTTAAAAGAAAAGGCTCAATAAACGATTGCATAGATAGATACTGTATAATACACGACGCATCAATATGTATTTCCTTTGTGCTTTGAACTTTTCAATGCGCGCTGTGACTCCATGTTGCTTCAAGCGCATCATTCTGCGCTGGGGATGCGCATAAGCGCTGTGTGCCGCACTGTATTGGAGCCTTTCATAATACTTTTGCGCAATGAAAGATTATTAATAGCCTTTCTTGTTCTGTCCTATCTATCATATGTTGCTGCCTCATTAAACAGCTGTGCTATACATTTAAAACATGTCTCAATTTTATAGTAGACTAGGCTATATAATTGATCTTTTTGTTTTTTGTTATCTTGTTTTTCATGAATGTATTTTACAACAATACAAAGAGCAATGTGTAACATTTTACCAGATTTAGTGCTCTTATTTGTTCCCCACTAAATGTTTTTTTCACTAAATGTTCAGATTTTATACAATTATTGTGCACTTGCGATTTTTCTAGACTAAATTTTACTGCTGAATTATCCACTAATCTAGTATATAATAGCATTTTTGTCATAGATTATGATCATATATTTTTTGGATTTGTTGTTTTTCTTTATAATGAAGTTGTCTGTATTAAGTAGATTGTGTTTAACACACAAAAGAGATTATCAGTTCAACACACAGAGTTATAGAAATTCTACTTGATGTAAAAAAAAAAAAAAAAAAATCTCAGATTTTTTTTAGGGGGAAAAATCGCCCAGCTCTAGTACAGACATGCCAGGTGGCAAAATCACAAGAAAAGCCTAAAGTGTACCAACAACTGCATTATTTAAGGGTATTCTATGCATTAGGATATTGATATAGGATCTGTTGTTGTAAAGTTATTTTCATTCATAATGGTTCCCCTTTAAACAGGCATAAAATTTCATATCAGTAGGCTATTTTCCCCTAATAACTGGTCCCGTAGTATAACAAGCCTAATTGTTACTGTATATGGCAATTTGACATAGCCTATACAAAACTTTTCCGTTTTCTTCCAAGTCAAAATCCATGTGTGGACATTTATCTAAGCCTGTTGCGGTCGTGAGATCAAGAAAGGTCAAATTAAATGATTTTGTTTTCCGCTCCAGATATACAATAAAATAATGTACAATTTAAAATGTAACATTTAACATGACAGTAATTTGAACATTGCCTTTGTAAAAATATAAAGCAAAACATAGGCTAAATGTGCAAAAAAAAATATTAACTAGTATTTCCAATGTCGACTAGCAGTAGTATCTTTTATTTGAATAGTCCCTCATTTCCCTAGTAATTAAAAAACTGGACATATCATACTTTGAGCTTCTGAAGCTCTCTAATAATTCTTCTATATCTTAACGTACACAGGCTGGTGGGCAGTAAGGTGCTTCCTGCACTGGGCATTGCTTGGGCCAACCAAGTGATGGTGAGACTCATGCTCACAAGATTGACAGGACAAGTCAAATCAGACAACCGAAGTTGTGCTCCGCGTAAATTAGAAGTGATCTTCGCCCCACACCTCCCTCGAGCGAGCTGCCTGTGTGGGGTTTGGGAGGAAGGAGTGAGAGGGATCCCCGATGACGCTCTTCATGATGAATGATCTGCAGATGGAGGAGACTACATTCACATCAGTTTGGCAGTCAACAGCTGCTAATGGACACAAATGTTTTTAAAGCACATTTTGTTAGGAATGGCTAATTTTTTACCATTTGAAATTAATACACATTATTATTAGGCTAATATAAAATTCTCACAGGTATTATGTGCAAATAATTTTGTAAAATAACCCTATTTTATAATACTTTTACATTTTTTATTATTATGCCCTTGAGACACTGAATATGTTTTCCTTATGTATACCTGTATGTTGTTACAGTTTTCATACAAAAAGAGTTCCAATGCAGCAATAAGCAAGTTGAATAAAGGCTAATCACTGCCTCAAAGCCACCCTTGAAGAGAACAAGCCGTTTTTTTTCTTCTTCTACTATTTCAGTAAACAAAGCAAACTCAATTTGCTATAGAACTGTCTTGATCGATCTTCTGATCTACAACACTCAAAACAGCATTAACCATGTTTATATTACCAGTCTTGAGACTATACCATTTCAAACAGAAAGGCAAATGCAACATTAAATATACAATAAAATGTATATTGAGAAAGTAAAAGTACAGATTTGTCCAAAAAAAAAAAGTTAAAAACAGTGGTACCCATTTTCCGATCCCGTTTTGTTTTATCATTCTACCAGCATTTCTTCTATGTATGGGATCTGTTATAATTCACCTGTGACTGAGTTCTTCTGACCAGCAGAGGGGGCTTGGTTCTCACGAGTATAGACAAACCTGTACACATTTTAAAAATCCGATTGCTGTACTTGTTTTAATGTCTGAGATTGACATCTTTGTTTAGCTGGTTAGCAGAGCCAGCATAACCAGCTAAACCATTTAACACTGATGTCCATTCAAAAGTTGCATATATGTAGTAGTATATTCTGACTAAATAAATATTTTTTATAAGCAAAATATATGCTGTTCGAAAAGTAAGATTTTTAATGTTTTTGAAAGAAGTCTCTTCTGCTCACCAAGGCTCCATTTATTTGATCAAAAAATACAGTTAGAATTTAAAATAACTTTTTTTTTTAATTATTTTAATATATTTTTTAAATATAATTTATTCCTGTGATGGCAAAGCTGAATTTTCAGCATCATTACTCCAGTCTTCAGTGTCACGTGATCCTTCAGAAATCATTCTAACATGCTGATTTGATGCTTAAGAAATTTCTTATCAATTATTATTATTATCATCAATGTTGAAAACTTAATATTTTTTGTGGATTATAAATATTTGGAATAGAAAGCTCAAAATAACAGCAGTTAGCCTATTTAAAGTAGAAATATTGTGTAACATTATAAATGTATTTACCGTCCCTTTCAATCAATTGAATGCATCTTTGCTGAATAAACATTAGCCTAATTTAACATCTTTCCGACACCAATCTTTTGAACGGATTTTTTTTTACCAGTGACCAATTTGTTTAAACTGCTCTTATTTTTCGCTCTGCTGCCTTTCACATCACATCATAAATGAATGAATGATGTTTGATGCATGCTGGTCCTTCAGGAAGGACTGACCCAACACTGACCATACTGCGGATCTGTGGAAACCCCTGAGTCATGCAACTCCATTTCATATTATTTTTCATAGTACATTTATTTATTTATTTTGGAGCATACGTCGTCTTGAGTTGCACATTTCAATATGTCTCTGCAAACAAAAGTGCAAAAATGCCTGGCAGTGATTAAAGTCCAACTAGAAAGGAGTTTTTGGATAGGCCTATAATCCTTCCAATACTTAACACACACACACACACACACACACAATGAGCGAGTCCCTTTATCAACATCGGAAACCCGAATGTTAGTGCACACACAAACAAACGCACTCATTTGCAACCAAATGCTGTGAGCAACCACACTTGCCTTTGAGCCCGTCCTGTCACCATAGCGACAATCACATGGGCTGTCTGTCCCAGATTGTTTGACCACCCCCACCCTCACCCTCAGGAAGACAAGAACCTCTCCATCTATCGCACTGCAACGTCAAATCAACCCCCTCCCATGTCCCATCCCCTGCTGCTACAAAACACACACACACATTTTCCTCCTTCCACTCAGCTGTTTACTGCTGCGCTGATGAAAACCTCGTTATGTAACTCCGCCAGTCCTAACTGGCAACACACACACACACACACACACACACATGACGAACACACGCCCACATCTGCCACCGTCGGCAAAATGACCGAGAGCTGCTCACACTTCAGCGTGCGCACTTCAAGCATGCGGATTCTGGTGTGTCATCAGGCAGGTTGTTAGTATGCATCCCACGTCTACTCAGCCAGGGCAAAAGAGAGACGGATGCAAATGCAATGACTGCAGGTTGCAAGGCTCTCATATAAACATGCATATACGGCCATCTTGGGAAAGAGAAGTGGAGGCAGAGAAAAATGGATTCTTGTGTTGAGACCTGAGAAAGAATGTGGAGCATGTGTAATGATGTGGAAATATTTGCTGAATATTATATTAGACTAAGGAAGATAGAAACACAGCTGCAAAAACACAATGCATAGAGGTTACACTCTATGGCATATTTACACACAGACACGTTTCACTATATTAGTGAGGACATTGCATAGACTTTATTGAATTTTATACCAGGTTGATGATGTTTTCTATGGCCTAACCCAACCCCTATATAGACCATACCCAAACATAGAAAAATTAGCAAAACACTAGGCCTATAGATTAAAAAAAAAAAAAAACTTGACCAATGTTTTGGTCAAATTATAAGCCTTTTTAAATGCCCTCACAGTCAGGTATTATAATATTTCACTATTTAAGTGAGGACATTTGATTCTCACAAGTAGACAAACCTGTAGGCCTACACACACACACTCTCACTCTCTCTTTTTTTTTTTTTCTCGTGAAAAAACACTTTATATTAGATTCACATTCAACAACACTTACTTCAGAGACAGTAAATATATATACAACAGCTCATTGCAGTGTCTGCAGCTCAGTCCAAAACTAGATATGCCTATAGAATAACAAATTCTAGACAACAGGTAAAACAACTTGAGGAATTCATAACATTCATTACAATTAATGTTTGCCCTCATTTGTTAAATCAGATATTTAACAATATCTACTACTCAGACACAGAAACAGCTTTTCTGCCAGGTTTGGGATCATTTGACTAAGGCCTTTTCCTATTGCAGAATCTAATCACGTCCCAACTCCCATCAAATGAGTCACAGCTGCACTCCAAAACCACATATGTGCAAGAATGAGGGCACAACGTATATATGTGGTGAATTTGAAAAGACATCGATTAGTACAAAAGTCAAAAAGAAAAATGAGTCTGATGGCTTTTGTGGCAGGAAACAGGCAGCAGCTGGTCGGTTGCTAAGACGACCAGGATTAGTCCTGCGCCATTGGCCCTCAGCTGCACCGCAGACTCTTTCTCCAAGAGTCCTAACCCCGAAAACATCCCACCATCCTTTACATCACATCATTGTTGTCAAAATACACAAATGTTTTATGTAGACTAATGATTGTGCGTAGTCAGCGACGACGCGTACTACATAAAGTCAACTTGTCAACGAAATTGATGTATTAACAGAAACAAAGAACTGATAATAACTGGCATTAGAGGGAAACAAAGATCTATATATCAGTATGTATATACATTGTAATAGGAAGCAAATGTAAACAAACACAGAGAGTATGACGTCATCTGTAGTGATGCAGGGGGTGCAGTAGCACATCCCCACCACAGGGGGAGCAGTGAGTTTCAAATGAGACCAACTATCAATAGGCCTACAAACTGTTTTACAAGCTTTTTTTATTTTGTTACTCGTTAAATTAAATGCTTTAAAGAGCTGTAAAGAGCAAACACAAGTAAACTGAGCCATTTACTACTGTCTACATAGGCTATCTGTGACTGAAACACAGCTAGCATGACTTGACAAACAAGCCATTCTAGCCTACTGTCCAGACAAGATTCAAGTTGACTAAAAGAAGTCTGCATTAATATCGAACTGTTCTGTTGCTTTCTTTATTCATATTGCATTGGAAAGAAAATAAGTAAATAAACCCTGCAGATCAGCACACATGGCAATGCCACAGGGAGCAGGCATGTGAAGTCCTGACTGAGGGTATTGTGCAGTGGCAGATGAAACAGTTTGAGACGCACAGTAGTTTTATTCAGAAAAGCAGGCAGGGTTGACCCGTTATGCAGATTTTGTAGACCCCCTTCACTGAACTAGGTCACACTTTGTCATGGAAGCAAAGAATTTCATTAAAAAGAAAAGAGAAACGAATAAACAATCATGTTTAGTATACTGTCAACAACTTGTGCACGTTGGAGAAATAACTGAATTTGCTAATACTGAGTTCAGCATTTCTCAATAGTGCAATAGTTGAATGCTCTCTCCTTAGCTTTTCCCTGCTCTCTGTCTTATTCCCTATCATTGTCAGGCAAGACCAGACATCACTTCCAGAACGTTTTGGGAAGAATCCGTAATGAGACAGAGGCATTGTGGCAAGGAGGCATCTCCATGGTGACAGGAAACCAAGCTGGAAAACACACACAATAGTCAGCAGCAGTGGGAGGTAAATGTGAGAAACGTAGAGAGGGGTTTGACGTGTGTGAACAACAAGTAAAACTGATGGTGAGCTTCAGAATTTCTTACACTGTGAAAATAGAATTACTGTAAATAACTTCCAGATTATCAAGAGACATTGCTTCTGAGTCAATGACTTTTTTTTTTGGTCCGGATTTATTCATTTATTCACTCTAAAAATGCTGGGTTGTTTTAACCCAAACTTTGGGTCAAATATGGACAAACCCAAATGTTGGGTTAAAAATGTAACCCAACGGCTGGGTTTGTCCATATTTGACCCAAAGTTGGGTTAAAAGAGCCCAGCATTTTTTTAGAGTGAAAAAGACTTTACTTCAGTTTACCACCTCAATGATCAGCATGTTTTTAATCTCTGAATTCAACATGAATGATATGCGCATTTGCGTTCTGTCACGGTTGGATGAAGAGAAGCCCACAACTAAATGAGTAGAAAAAAAAATAGTCTTTATATTAAATCCACAATGGAAAACTCAGGAGATTGTAGGAGAAAATGTAAACACAATCACTTTTAACATACTAGACAATACCGGACAAGGTAACCGAGGGCTTAAATGCTGAAAAGGAGTAATCAAAGTGAACAGAAACAGGTGTGTGGAACTATTTAACAACCAAGGAAACTGACTACTGGCAGGCAAAACAGGAACAAAACAGAATAAAGATGTTACAGTTCTGTATTAAAGTTTTTTTTTTTTAATTATACTTGATCATTGCTACCTCTCTATCTCTTGTGAGAGCAATACACACTACTCGTTTGTGGAACCAG